CATAATTCAAACCTAATATAAAGAATTAACATACCACAACATTCTCCCTAAGCAGAATTGAGAAGAATTGCAGATGAAAAGTTGAGAGTCGCTAGCGATGAAACACTACCTCCATCATCGGCTGAACCCAGGAAGTGCGGCCGCCGCCGCCGAGCAAAGGAAACTCGTAGTCTTACTTGCGCGCCGCCAGCAAATTCGAATAGAAAATACCCTTACCCCTTTCTCCTTGCGTTTCCCCTTTCTCCTTGGGTTCGTTTGATCTTCCACCGCAGCGCCCTCTTTGTTTCGTTTCAGAGACGGGATGTTCTCCGTTAATTTCACCCTACTTCCGTCAAAACCTAAAGCTTTATCTCAGGGATTGATATGCAAATACAAAACAATAGAATACGTGTTTAATGAATCCATACGTAATGTTTTGAGTGGTCCAACTAGGCACATGTACGGTACCTGCTAAATTATCATATGTACGGTAGAATTTTCCATAACTTTAATGCAAACTTTGATGAAGATGATGTGTTAATGATGTATTATCGGCAGTTTGTCCAAAATAAAAGTGATTTTGAACTAATTTCTAAAACAAAAATAATAAAATAGTAGAAATGTAGCAAAAATTTTAATATGCACGTAACGTGCTTGTAACCGAGCACGTAATCAAGCCTGGTACTAATGAGATTAAACTTAAGTAAGTTCTGAGACCCAACTTTTTCTCTTATTCGATCCTTGTCATTTTAATATAAAATATTTGTTGCATTTGTTATTTAGTCACTTGTAAAATATATATGGTACTACATACTAGAAATGTGGACAAGATTTTTTGTAAGATTAAATTTAACCAGGTTAATTCTTTAATTTTAGACACAAATAGTTGAAAAAAATAAATTTCCAAATTATACTTCCCCCATACCATAGATTGTTTAAGAAAAAATGGCCTAAAATAAGAATAAAACATAGCCTTCTCCCAAAAATAATATCATATGTTTGATTTTCTTTAAATAGGACTAATCATTTTATTTCTACCCTAATTTAATCAACTAACTAATTAACTTAATTAATTGGCCCCTAGTTCTCTTGCATAACCAAGGTCGTTCGTTGGTGGCGGCTGGCGGGATCTATCCGTGGGGGTGGTAGTCGACGGCAACATATTTTTGCTAGCTCGGAGGGGAACTGTAGGAATTTTTCCGACAACGTAACAAGTGGCAATCTGGCGGCATGAGGGCATCAATGTTAAAGCCCTATGAGGATATTTTGGTCTAATCACAAATAAAAAATCGTATTTAAGATATGTTAAACTAGTAGGTCATATTTTGGGAGAAAACCTATGTTTTAGTCCTATTTAGGGACTTCTCCCATTATTTAATTAAAAGAAATAGATCATCATGTATAATTAAATGAGAAAAGTGTCCAAACTAAGACTAGAATATAAGAAGTACTTTTTCTAAAAACGGGAATATATGTTTGGTTTTACCTAAATAGGACTAATCAATCCATTTCTACTCCAATTAATTGCTCCCTATTTCTCTTATAAACCCAAATCAGTTTGTTGGTGGTGGCAGCAAACTATGGCAGCGGTACGGTGTAGGCTTCTAACGACAGCAACAATGGAGAACGAATTTCTGGCAGAGCGGCAGATCGTCATATAGAGCCTAGTTGGTGATCATGTTTTTTTCAGCTTATCAACCAACATTTTCACCAAACACGTAATGTTTGATTTCATATGTTGAATTGTATAATAATAAGAAAAGTTAAGGTTGGAGTCAAGCTCAGTCCTGACATTTGATATGTTGGGCCCGGGACAGTACAAATAGATTAGACCTTACAGATAACCATGTGAAGTTTATATTTTATATTAAAAAAAAGCAATTTTGTCATCAAAGAATTATTAAATGAGACAGTTAGAACGATTATATTTAAATACTTGAGAAGTGACGTTCGAGATCTAATACTATGTACCTAAACCGGTCGAATTGAAAAGTGGTACGATTGTTACTTGCTATAAATAATTTTAAATTTGTAAAACATGTGAAAGTTATATCTTATATAGTTATATGTATTAACGTTTTCATATTTCAAATCACATTTTCACCTGACTAAAACAAACAGTCAATTTCTAAATCCGTTTACTTACATGAGAGAATGAAAGAACATCAGTCAAACATTATCAATGAATCATGTGTGCACATGAGAGTAGGTGGAGTGATTAACATTTATAATTTTTTCATAAATTAGCTGAATCAGTTAATCCAGTCATTTCAGCAGAATCAGTCAATACAACTGATATGGATATTACGAAACAGGCTCACAATTTATGGAAAAAATTCCAGCAGGAGTATTTTGATCCAATTACAAATAAAATCGTATTAAAGTATTTTAAACTAATGGGTACTATTTCTTATAGAAGTTGTGTTTATCCTATTAAGGTAAATATACCGAATTAAATATTCCATATACCAGAACTTATAAGAGAAGAACAACGGTTTTACATGAATATAATGTGAGTGCTCTTATTATTAAAACATAATAATAATTAATGATATTGATAATAAAACCTAATAATGGGCCGGGCTTTTATACGTGGCTCCTAAAGTGAACTAACGTGCTCAATAAGGAGCATGTAACATGCTCTCAGAAATGTAGTGGTTGTTACGTCAAAACCGCCACACATTTTTTTATGTAAAACGCCGGTTGGATAGCTAATAAGCGGCGGTTCTTACTTAATGATCGCTGCAAATTAATTTATTTTTTATTTTTTTATTTTTCGATATGCGGCAATTGTAAGCTATAAAAACAACCGTGACGCGTACGAGCGGCTCTATCCCTCTCTAGGGTGGGTTTCCACCGCTAGGGTTTTTTCTCCGCTATCGTTTGTAATGAGGAACGGTCACCGTATGCGGGCTTAGGCGTACAAGGTTTCTTCTTCCGTCATGCATCAATTGTACGGCTTTTCTTCTTCTTTCACTTAGCGAGATTGAGCTGAGGGAAGATGATGTTTGGTCTCTAGCGGTCAAAGATTGTGCAGTGACGGAAGATGGATGCCTCCGACGGCCACAGGTCATGGTCGAAGCGTGGGGTAGAGGCTGGAACAGAGCTGGATTCGAGGTCATTTGTGTTTGGTAGCGACAGAAGAGACTTGGTAGAAAACATGATGCATAAGGGGCAAGGCGAGGAAGAAGCTACGGTACTGCTGGAGCGTCCCCCTCCTGAACCGCCGCCATGGAGTGCAAAAGAGTCTAGGGTTTGGAAGCATCTTTTTAATTTTACTTTTTTCTTGCGATTTATTTTTCAAAACCAGACTATTTATTTTTCTGTTTGGTTACTTTTATTGTTGTAAGACTGCATTAGGATTGGGTGATGAGAGATATGTGGTAATCGTCTTTGGCTCAGTTATGCCCAATTTAGGATCAGTGAGTTATGTTGCTTTGTCAAAGGTGATTAACTCTGAGTCCGATTCAAGATGGTTTTTTTTTTTGTTATTTTAACCTTTATGTGATTGTTGTGATATCAATCTAAGTCCTTCCTTCCCAAAAAATTAAGTGTGGCGCGAGTCAATTTTGGAGCAGCGTTGTGCCGGTCAAAACTGCCGCGCTTATGATCTTAATACTGCCACAAATGGAGGTTTTTTCACTAGTGTGCGATCCATTGTATGAATTCAAAAACTAAATAGACTCCATGGAAATAATGATTCAATAGTTCTTTCGTAGTTATGATTCCCACCAGATGACAGAAATTCACCATATAAGCACAATAAAAATGGAAGGAATTGTTTTGGAAGGTTCTTCTGACCAGCTTAAAAAACAATCCAATTGATAACTTTACCTTAATTTAAAATAAGGGATAATTTGAGTTTGCACCCCATTTTATTGGCCAAATTAGACTTTGCACCCCGTTTTTTAAATCATTAGTATTTGCACCCCAATCCCTTATGAAAAGACAAAAATGCCCCTCAATAAGGAATATGTTGAAGGCCAACAAAATTGTTATTGGAGGGCATTTTAGTCTTTTCATACGGGTTGGGGTGCAAATACTAAATATTTCAAAAACAGGGTGTCAAGTCTAATTTAGACAATAAATGAGGTGCAAAATCAAAATATCCCTTAAAATAAATATAAGTTCAACTATTTGAATTTTGTCATATCTTTAAAGTGATTTAAATTTTAGTTATAGTTCATCTATAGTCTCTGTTTTCAAATTTTAAGTCCCAAATAAGAAGACAGATTTAGAGTCCTTTTGATAACATTAAGCACCCGTTTGATAACACGAAAATCAGCTAATTCAGCTGAAATTTATGAAGTTCTGGCTGAATTGGCTGCATTAGCTGATTCTGCTGATTTAAGAAAAAATTATTTTAAAATATGTGTATTTTATTAATAAAATAAAGAAAGAATTATATGTAAAATAGCTAAAATGGTCATCTACCTACATTAACTTCAGCTAATACATTCAGAAAAGTAACTTCAATCTTACTTTTTCTTATTATTACACAATTCAACGCGCGGAAACAAAAGTTACGTGTTTGGTGAAAAAGTTGGCTGATAAGCCTAATAAGTCGAAAAAAGTGTTACTAAACGGCCTCTAAAATTTGATGAATCGGTTGATTTTGCTGAAATTGAATAACGTCTGGCTGAAATGACTGATTCTTTTGAATTTTGAAAAGATTATTTTAAAAATATATTTTATTATTAAAATAAAGAAAAAAATGGAAATACTAAAATCATCATCTATTGTAACTTTAGTCAAATCGGTCAGAAATATAACTTCAATCTTACGTATTTTGAATTTTTAATTATTACATAACTCAATGCATGAAATTCAAAATTACGTATTTAATAAAAAAATAATTAATAATAAAATTAATAAAAAAATTAATTAATAAAAAAATAACTATCCACCCCTTCCCCAATTAACCTTCCAAGCTAAGCCCCCTCTCAAACTTGAAACTCCCAAACGTGACCTAAGTAATGAAGTCATGATAAGTTTGTAGTATTAACAAAACGCAGTAACATGTAAATTGTTATTCCCTCTAAGCTAAGGTATCTATTCTTACGTACTGTTTCTTCCTTTTATCCCCCCTCCTGTTCTAAAATACCTTAAGTACTTTCTCACCTTTCAATCTCTCTTCTTCACTAACAAAAAGGGATGGAAGCTCTCATTCTCTTGCTTCCTCTGTTTTTACTTCACAGTATCACCCAATCCAGTGCCGCCCGCATCGACGCATTCGTCTACGGCGGCTGCTCGCCGACAAAGTTCAACCCCGGGACGGTCTACGAGTCGAACGTAAACTCGGCACTCACATCGCTGGTCAACTCGGCCGACTCGGTCAGCTTCAACAAATTCAAGACTTCTCTCCCGGGGTCGACCCAGCCCGACGTTATTTACAGTCTTTACCAGTGCCGCGGCGACCTCGCCGCCTACGACTGCCGGAGCTGCGTGGCCCGAGCCGTGAGCCAGCTCGGGTCGCTCTGCGTGGACACCTCCGGCGGCGCGTTGCAGCTCGACGGGTGTTTCGTGAAGTACGACAACATCTCGTTTCTCGGGGCGGTGGATAAGGCGGAGGTCATCCACAGGTGTGGGCCGTCTGTCTCGTCCAGCTCGGACGAGACGACGAGCCGGTACACCGTACTGACGGGTCTATCGGCTGCGGGCCAGTACTTCCGGGTGTTCGGGTACGGGAGGGTCCAGGGTATGGCGCAGTGTACGCAGGACGTGGACTCATCGGCGTGCCAGGATTGTTTGTCGGAAGCCATCGGACGGCTGAAAAGTGAGTGTGGGTCCGCCTCGTGGGGATACGTGTACTTGGTCAAGTGCTACGCGCGTTATTCGGAGCATGGATTCTCGCCAAAAAGCGGTAAGCCGTTCCTCCGCCTTGCACGGTGGTCGTCGTCTTTTACCGTTGGTGGATTTTTGTTTGTTTTAGGTTTCTTATAACAGTGTTTTATGTTACATCGTACATTATGAATCGATTTCATATAAATATCTTTTTGTTATTGGAGCTTATATTCCAATTAAATCAACTTGTGAATTAAGATTTAAGGTATCCGATTTGATTGAACAAATGCGGATTAATCTTTCTAACCGGAATAACCTACAACGGTCAAGAAATATGAATATGATTGTAATAACAGCTGTTTGGTTACACTATTTTTCAGCTTATCATGCTTATCAATCAACTTTTTCATCAAACACGTCATTTTTGTTTTCGCGCGCTGAATTGTGTAATAAGCAGAAAAAATAAGGTTGAAGTTACTTTTCTGGCTTTATTGGCTGAAGTTACTGTAGATGACCATTTTAGCTATTTTTACATATAATTTTTTCTTTATTTTATCAATAAAACATTTTTTAATTTTTTTTCCCTTAAATCAGCAGAATCAGCCAATGCAGCCACTTCAGCCAGAACTTCATAAATGTCAGCAGAATCAGCTGAATAAGCCGATTTTCGTGTTACCAAACAGGCTCTAATATCGCCACACATAAATTCACATGTATAGTACTACGTATAATATAGTATAGTATAGGTTCTCGTTAAATATCAATATATTAATGAAGTTGGTTTTGATAATGTTATTTATGCTCAAGTAAATGTACAAGTGACAACGTGACATGTCAACTTGATTAAATACGAAATTGCAGAAAAATGTACTATAATTCCTTCTCTAATAATTGGGTGATCAGAATGCATTTTTACTTTATTCAAAGTCTATCAAATCAATATTAGCTACACAATTTCACTTTCCTTAAAAATCGCACATCATCCTCTTGTCCGAATCTTAGGAATACGGAAGTAGACAAGTAGTAATTTGGAAAGTTATAACTTGCATTAGAAATCTGAATTACTTTTAAATTTTCCATTTTAGTCTTCCAAAAATCTAAAAAAACTTGCCATGTCTAGCATTACATGACTTTTGAATACTTTTGAGATTTCAAGGTTAAATTATCAATATTTAACTAAAAAGGTTTTGGTCTTTTTTTTGTCAAATAATTACAATAGAGCTAATTTTGTCAACACACATTTGTTCGATTATAGAGACCGTTTAATAGTTTTTGAGTGAGACACTTGGTCTAAAGTTTCAGATTTATCTCCACGACTCTACATATGCAATATGATATTGTGAGAATTTCATTTGGGTGGGGAATAAGGTGGGGGCGTTATTTCTGGACTATTCCATTGGATGACAATATAGAAATCTTTGGGCGGTTGATATGATCCACCATTTGGGTGGGGAATAAGGTGGGGGCGTTAGAGACAAATAGCGTGTGTGTATATATATATGTATTGAGGAGGTGTGTGGATCTTATTCTTAAAACAACTTATTTTTCTAGAAGAAGAAGTTGGAGTGTTAGGGTGAAAATGCAAAAATGTTCTGGTGCTCTAATTTACTCTTAGAAGTAATTTTTTTAGAAATTGGGAAAGACCAGGTTCTGAAAACCGATTCTAATTCTACTTCTATTTTAAAAAAGAAGCATGAGCACAATCCGTTAGAAAGAATATACTTTTCCGTTGCATAAAAGATTATTAATTCTTTTTCATCCCACCCGAAAAGAAGTTGCATAAAAAGAATGGAATATGCTTTTATACTCGACTTTCTACTTTCGTTTAGTAAGAAAAGAAACAAGACAAGATCGACGACTCATGAAGACTTGCTTTCCTCTTATCGCCGACCTTTAATTTACCTATTTGATTCTTTATTCAAAAGCAGCTCCAGTGACCCCACACCGATCTTAGCTCCCAAGAGCATCCACAATATTGATGACTTTTGACCCCTCCTCTCATCCGCATCATTTCTCATAAAAAACTTAATCCCTTATAACGTATCGCACCTCCTTATTATATGATCTAGGTCATTTAAAATTTATACATTCTCTCTTCATATTTTTGATATATTCCATCATTATTAATTTATATAATTTGAAAACGAGTTGATCCATTTTTATAGGAAAATTAATCTATACAGATAAAATAAGATGCAAGAGAGAAAGAAGTGATAAATTTTGAAGTGACTAAACATATCACTCATTGGTGTCTATTTATAGAGGGGAAAAAATCTAATTTTTTGGTATAATTTTTCTTACAATAAATTAAATTTAATGAATAATAAATGAAATTAGAGAGTTTGAGATATTTTATAAGGTTGGTGGCTATGTGTATGGGGAAGAGAAGCCACATGGCCTTTTGTGATAGGTTAGTCACAAAAGCTTGCTCAGAACTCATTTTTAACCTTCCCATTTAACCGATTTAACCGATCACATGGTGATCATCCATAGTGGGGGTCAACTACCATCAATTTTGTTTTTTAACCTAATTTCACCCTCCATTGTGGATGCTCTTAGAGCATCTCCAATCCATAGGGTGGATTGGTGCTTATGTGTCATCCAAATGCAAAGGGTCTATATGTGGAGCAAAATAAACAAATCGAAGGGGTCTATTTTTTTCTTACTCCAATGCAAAAGAAACTTCAAAAAGAATAATCATTGCATTTTAACTTGGTGAGGTGAGACCCAAGATCTATCAATGGACCTTGTGCAAGACTTTAATCTTCTCTCCTTTGCCAAGTAAGCCTCACCCCTTCATTTTTTGTTGCATTGAAGATGCAATCCACCTCTCCATTGGATTCAACGAATTAAAGCGTTACCAAAGAGACCCTAATTCTCCTTGATCACCGTTTTTATACGAATATAATTCATTCGGTCATAAGAAAGAATTTATCTATTCTCACTCTTTAGTAAGGTTGAAAAACCATTTGATACATTGAAAATCTTACAATGTACGTATCATCATATATATTCTTACTTTTAATGAAGAATGTTTTTTTTATTTGAACTCATACATACACACACACACATACAATCTCACACACATTCATTTATCATTTATGTACTCCCTCCATTATATTTGTTGTCATTAATGTATTAAAATTTATCCATTTATTTTACTATTGTCTATAGTTCTTGTGGAAACGTGACCATAACAATAAACTAGTTTTGCGATGGTGATTGTTTTTATTTCGATTATGTTTTTACTGTTAGTTTTATTCATTATACAAATTTTTAATGTTTATGAATTATTTACATACATATAGCTAGGATAAGGTGCGGTGTAAATAATTATAATAATTTTAATTAGTTTAGGGTTTTAAGTAACTTAAATTAAGATAATTTGTATAGTTATGGAAATTATTAATACTTTAGATAATTGTTTAAAGTATTTAGTGATAATAAATATATTATGAAATTGATTCGTTTTAGATAATTTTTCCTGAAAACATTACTAAAAGAATATTCAAGGAAACGGTATCACTAATGACCATTCAAGAAAACGGTATAACTCAGTGAAATAAATATGTACCCTACAAACAATATTTTTTATTTATTAATAAAAGAATGAAATTAAAGTATTTTTTTTAATTATATATGTCAATGAGTTTTATTTTGAGAAAAATAGTAATGTAGTCATTATTCTGTCCAATGGTTTATGTTCCATTATCATTTAAAAAGACATTTTCATAATTAGTGAAGAAATAATATACTCTACTCATGCCCGCAGACGGAGAAAGCGCGAGAAAACTTGCAATAATAATTGGGATCGTTGCTGGTGTGGCCGTACTGGTCGTTCTCCTCTCTGTTTTGAGCAATCTTTGTTGTTCCAAAGGTACGTCCTAATTTTCTTTTCTTCTGATAAACACACTTGATACTTTCACTTTATTAATTAAGCATAGTTAGATTCTTTCAAATAAATCTGAATATTTAATTTTCCGTAACTAACTTTATATTTTCGTCAATCATTTCCTACTTCTCACCTTCCTCCTATTAATAATGCCCGAAAATATGAAATTGTTTACTATATTAGGTGTAACTTTGTAATTTGATACTTCCCTCGTTCTTAAATAAGTGCAACAGTCAGCATCAATTTCACAATTGCCGAGACACAATTTTGACCATTAATATATATAAATCTCTATTAGTAAAAAAATAAAATAAAAATCAGATTTTGAAAATTTACAATGAGACAAATTTAGTAATATTTTTTTCAAAAATATATATATTACTCCCTCCGTCCCTAAATAAACTTCCATTTCGTTTTTCGAGGGTCAACTTAAATCACACTTAAACTCTTACTTTATGTATCAAAATTTTATAAAAAGTGAATTATTTTTTGCAGGTTTTGTAGCGAGTTTGATGTAGTTTCTGAATATGTAAATTTTATTTTCTAAAAATAATCCGAGTTTTCACAGGGATCATTTAACTTTATCGCTGGTCAAACTTCGTAACCCGCAATTGGAAGTTTAATATGGGACGGAGGTAGTAATACATTGATAAATAAAATGTAATCAAAATAGAACATGTGAATAGCAACTTTGGAATGTTGCACTTATTTAAGAACGGAGGTAGTATATATTGACCATTATTTATTTTGAACTTTTGCCATCACAAGTTATATATTGACTATTATCGTGGGAAATAGAGAGGATTTGTCGATATGCCATCACAAATTTACACAGACGAAAGCGTGTATCGTAATGAATTGTTACTTAAATTCTTTGGGTACATTATTTTTCCTTTTTATTGTTAAGTTGGGCTGCTTTTCTCTGTGTATGTGCTTTTGAGGAGGTGGTCGAAACAATTTAGAGAAGGAAATTAATTAATTAGTTGAAAGAATATATTATGGCAGCTGAAATAAACTTGGCCGGGCAAGGCACTTGATATTTATCCTATATATAAAATACACACACTTTAACTTTGTCAACAGCTAAAGATGATCTCTTTAGGATGATCACACTTTTTCTTTTGGCAGTGGGCATCTTTTAGCCTTTTCCAATTCAGTATCTCTTTTGTTGTAGGAGTGAGGCTAATCCGGCCGAATGTAAAGCGAGAGAGCCATAAGCACTAGCAAAGAATTATACACAAATATAAAAAAAAAAAATTGTTTTTATATAACCTGGACTCTTTTTTTGGAAGGAAAACTGCTTATACTATTATCATTGGAACTTAAATCGTAACTAACTCAAAAAGACCAACAATGGCAACAATTATACGTAATCAACTAGCACTACAAACTATATGACTAGACTTAGAAATATTCACCACCGAAAGAGCAATACAAATCGCTAACCACCAAATGAGTGTAACACAACAATCACTGATCATATAGATCCTTCTAACGATATAATATGTAGCACAATTGTCAATCATTATCGTAGACAATTGTTGAGAACAGAAAAATAAAAATCAACGGGGTAAACCGTTGCCCAGATAATCAACGATAAAAATACCGTTGCCCATCAACGAAGAACATAGCAACATAAATAAACATAACACCTCGATCGTTCCAAGGCGGTGTGGTTGGGGGGCAGATGTCTTCTCCCTTGCTCAGCCCTTCGTCGCTCCTCGTCTACTCATCATCCGTGCCGCCTCCACTGCCACCACCACCCTCCATCCATGTCGATATGCTAAAACCCAACCCTTCGACCTCCTCCTCAATTGCTGAAATTGGATAACGCTGCTCTGGATCACCCATAGAAGTCATGATTATCCTTTCTTGAGCTTGCACTAAATCCAAATGCAAAATAAAAGCTGGTCCACAACTTTGTTAGTAATATACGGTACGTGAATAATACAATAATACGTACGTTCGTGTATAATACGATACAATTATATAAAATACGGCTTAATATATGTTTCATATGTTCGTGAAATATATAAAGATACGGACGCGTTTTAAACGTTTCACAATTTAAAAATACGGCATATAATATGTGTCTTATATACTTATTTAATGATACAAATAAAGAGTTATTTAACATTTGCATTACAATCTTCAACAATTTAAAATGTACGGAATAGTTTTTTTCAGATTTTTTTTCCAGATATACGGATTTAAATGCATAGGTACAATACATAATAAAAATGACATTGCCTATTTAAGTAGAAGTGGAGAGATATTACTAGAAAATAGTTGATATTACTTTGACCATGAGTTTAGTGAGCCGTCACAACATTTTTCGATCTCTTTGGAGTCTTGGTATGGGCGGAAAACAAAAGTAATACAGTAGTAGTACAATAGAAATATCGAAACATATTACGAATTTAAGAAGCTAATTCATTAACTGTAATGACCGTTAAACAATTAGCGAACATATAAGGCATAACGTTTTTTAAGCAATATAAATAATATTGAGTAGCTTGACATTTTGTTTTAGTTGTATCACTTTATTAGGTTTCCGTTTAATGGTGTTTTTTTTAATAAAATACGTATCAATACGTATAGTACGTGTATTGTACATTTTATCCTTAAATACATGAGTTTTTCAGAATCTTCTGAAAAATTCATAAACAGGAGTATTATACGTAATAAAATACGTATCAATACGTACGGTACGTGTATTATACATTTTATCTTAAAGTACGTGAATTTTTCAAAAAAAAATTGAAAAATTCATAAACGGGAGTATTATACGTGAATTATACGTTCGAGTGTATTATACGCGAATAAATTAATAGAGGTCCACAATAGTGGGGCATTGCATCGCTCTTGACACGGGAGTTTTTCCCTAACTCTTGACAAGGGAAAGATATGATCGTCCTTCGTTTCTTCACTTTTAGGTGTATATATAATCCCCGTGATGAATTAAAAATGGGGATAAGAAAATTTGCTTTCTTTATAGCCTAGATTCTTGGTAAAACAATTTGTGTGTAAAATGTAAATAAAGCCATTTTCTCTTTTATTGCATCACATTAAAAGTCATATTTTAATAGTCATGGCCTGTTTGATTGATCGAATTAAGTTTTCTAATAAATTTTGTAAATAAATAGAGCAAATTGAAATCTCTAAACTTGCTAGATTACAAAACATTCTAAATTACAAGAATTAGATCGAGTATGTTTAGCGACTCTGTTTTTTGGCTTATCGGGCTTATCAACCAATTTTTAACTAAACACGTAACTTGTTGAAGTTACTTTTCTGGCTGTTTTGACTGAAGTTACTGTAGATGATAATTTTAGCTATTTTCATATTATTTATTTTATTAACAAAATATATTTTAATTATAAAATTTTCATCAATTTCAGCAGAATCAGTCGATTCAACCGATTTTAGTGCTGCCAATGGGCTCTTAATTTCATCTTCAGGGAGAATGGTTGGCGTGCACCAATGATGGTGATGTTGGCAACGATATGTGAGGAAACAACGAGATGCATATTAAAGTGTCTTAGTTGACTATCTGATGTGTAGGAGGTATTGGTCCTACCAAAGACTCCCTTCTACTTATTCGTGTTAAGGCCTGCACCCTAAGTTTAGCCGTACTCCTATTATTTCCTCTTGTGTTTGTTCACTACCTAAATCACATGACCTTGTTATGTCTTGCCCGTTGCTATCCTATCTGCTGCCTTATCTTTGGGCTCCCCTTATTTTGTCTTTCTTAGACCCGTGACTCACTTGATTAGGAAAGCATCTTTTTGAGTTCCATATATTTGTGGCCAGTGAGTATGAGAGAGTGGACTTCCTCCTTTGTGTGAGTGAGGCGTGAAACTAGTGGGCAGTAGGTATTGAGAGTTTATCTCCTCCTTTGTGTGAGTAACCAGAGAGATAAAGTATAGTCCTTCTTCCTTTGTCCTCCTTTGTGTGAGCTTGAGAGGTGAAAAAGAGTGTGGCTAAACTTGGTGAGTGGTGGAGTGACTAAACATCCTGGGGTGGTGTGTGTGAGTTGTTCTGGTTGGAGACCTGATCTGAAATACACACCCAACAGTGGTATCAGAGCCTGGTTGCCGTCCGCCGCCGTGCACCGCCATCAGCCGCCGGTTGAAGCTACTGGAAGCTCCGCTGGTTTTGGGCCATGGTTCTAGGTTGCCGCTGGAACCACCCAGCTGCCTGAACCACCGCAGGGAGCTCAATCGACGGAAAAAGCTTGTTCATAGCCGGAGTATGCTCTGTGGTTGATGCTTCTCGTTCGCAGACTGCCGCCTGAAAGTTTCGCCGTCCACCTTCGCAGTCACCGCTGAAGCCACCGCCTGTCAGGAAGCCGTTCGCCGGAAATTGCCGTCGCTGAACGCCGATACCTAAAGCTGGTTGCAGATTTGTACTTGACCTGGGTTTTGCTGCACCAATAGCTGAGTTTCGTTGGAATCGCCGCCTGAGAACCGCCCACCGTCGTCGCTGCAGGCCATCGTCGCTTGGAAGCTCGCTACCGCAGGTTGCTGTCGCCATCCACCATACGCCGTCGATTGGAGCCCATTGGACGCCTGTGAAGTACCACCTGTGGCCGTTCGTAGCGGAAGACGTGAGCTGTTTTCCGTCTGGGAGTTATCCAAGCTTGAAATTGCAACTGGATACTCCCTGTTTCGACTGCAGAGCAATTGCGCTGAAGCTGCTGCCGGTCACAAACCGTTCGCCGGAGCTAGTTCGCCGGAAGTTCCTCATTGCTGGTCCCGTCGTTCTTCAGTCGGAGCCACCATCTGCGATATTTTGCTTTTCGCAGAAAGTCTCAAGTCGCAGGGACGAAGAGTACTGCTTCGCTATTCTTTTGGTCTGCTGGGTTTGCTGAAGGGGCTAGGACTCTTGGAGCTTGCTGGATTTTGGGTTGTTCGCTGGACGCTGGAGACTTGAAGGCTGGATTCTGATTTGGACCTTGGGCTTTACGCATAGGAGCTAGACTTGGAGCTGGACCTAGAGCAGTAGATATACTCGGTCAACTGCTTGGTCAACTTGGTCAAAGCTCGGTCAATGCTAGTCAAAGGCAGTCAACAGTCCGAAAAATCCCAATTTTTTAAATTGGGTGGGTAAGGTCGAAATGCCTCTCCTAGGGTTTCGCTCCGGTATATTGACTATAAACCTTTTTATCGCTTTTGTAGTGATTTTGTAGTCTTTCATTGTGTAGAAATCCTGTTTTAGGTTCATTACTGCTGTTAAAATTTATAGAATTGTTGTATTGTGTTGTGCTGAAAATTTATTATTTATTTGTGCTTATACGGAAGAACAAGGGGTTTGAAGTTGAGTTTGGTGCTCATTAATACTCCCCACGTGTTCGTGCTAGTTGCTTCGTATATTGATAGCCTTATAAATATTTAAATTGTTTTTCAACAAAATTTACATTTTCTTTTGTTGCTTATTTTTCTCTGTGAAAATGACTGCTTATAATTAGTATGGTATGGCTCCATTTAATGGAAAATCTGATTTTAGCATTTGGAAGCAAAAAATTAAATGTATTTTAATACAACAAAAATGTTTTAAAGCAGTTGGCGAAACCTATTTAATTTCTGACACAGAAGATAAAAGGGCTGAAATGAATGAAAATGCATGTTCTGTGATTTATTTGAACTTGTCTGACTCTGTGATTAGAAAAGTTGGAATTTTAGAGAGTGCTAAAATTCTGTGGGATAAATTGAATGAACTGTATACTGAGACCTCTTTGCCTAACCGGATATTTTTACTTGAAAAGTTCTTCAAATTTAGAGTATATATGTCTATAGATATTGAAGAAAATCTAGATGTTTTTACCAAACTTATTTCATATATTAAGTTGTGTGGTGATAAGCATATAGATGATTATTCCCTCATTGCTCTTTTAAATGTTATTCCTGATTCCTTTAGTTATGTGAAATCTGCTATTAAGTATGGTAGAGATAATGTGACTCTTGACATTGTAGTAAATGGTCTTAAGAGTAAGGAATTAGATTTAAAACAGATGGGTGAGGGTAGAAAATCCGAGGAAGTTATGCATGTGAGGGGTAGAGAAAATAATAGTAGACGACATAGATCTAAGTCTAGGTCTAATTCGAGGCGTTGCTATTATTGTCATGAACCAGTTCATTTTATAAGAGACTATCCTAAATCTAGGAAAAATGAGCATAGTGAGCATGCTAATTTGACTACGTGTGAAGATGATTTAGAAGATGTTTTTATGATGAAAAATCTATGTGATTATGACTATTTGAGTTCTGTGATATCTGATTCTTTGGGTTAATCAGCTTGGGTGGTAGATTATGGTTGTACTTTTCATATGTCCCCCTTGAAAAATGCTTTTTCAAGCTATAGGGAGATTGAGCATGGCTTTGTGTATTTATATTAACAAATAAGAAGAAATGCAATGTGCTAGGAATAGGAGATGTATGCCTTAGGTTTTCTTCTGGTTATGTGCTTACTTTGAAGAATGTTAGGCATGTTCCTGAGCTGTGCTGTAATTTGCTATCTTGTGCTTCTCTTGAAAATGAGGGTTTGAAGGGAAAATGGGGAAAGGGAATCATGAAAGTTGTGAAGGGTTGTTTAGTTGTTTTCAAAGCTGAGATGAAAAACAACTTGTATGTTTGTCATGCTGAACCCATACTTGATTCTGTGAATTGTGTGCAACCCTGTGTGCTAGGAAAATAGTCTAGGGTTAGTTTTCCTGATCTGCCTAAGTGTACTAATGTGCTTCGAATCCTCACAAGGACCCCACAAGTCAGCATGAATACAATCAATTTTAGAGAGATAAACCCTATTTCGATTTTTGAGAGCTTTTCAAGCCTTGCTCTTCAAGATTAACGGATTCTTTGTAAGTTCTATCTTTTTAATTAATGACAATTATTTCTATTCATCCCAATTCCGTTGATTCTTCAATTATGAATTGTGAGTAGTTTAATTAGGGATTTGGGGTTGATGAAGGGGTTAATTATGATTGATGGCTAGATTCTTTTCGGTTTAATTGCGTGAATGCCGTTTAATTTGTGTTTGAATAATTTAATTGATATCTTTTGTAACCCGGAACCACGGCTAGAATTACAATTGCTTGTACAATAAATTAAGAGAGATCTAGTTTATTCTAGGACACATTCACACACACTTAATCGTTCGCTAAGAGATTAGTAGCGATTAAGGAGCCGTAAGCTCGCTCGTCTTGGCAATAATTTAGGATCCTGTCGCATGAGAGATCAGCCTGGTCCCCTAAATTATTGTACTCTACACCGCGAGAGCGGTAAGAACTTAGTAATGATTAGCTAAGCTCAATTAAATTAAATTCATGTAATTAGGCCTGTTCTGCCAGAAATCTGATTACCCCAGAATCAATCCCTGTTCCCTTTGTCGTTAATTAGAAAGAAACCAAACATTTATTTTATTCGCTCATTCGCATTAGTTTAATTTAATTTTTATTCAATCAATCAATCAATCTCGCACACTTGCATTTTATTTTATTTTATTTTTATTCGCTGAATTTAGTTAATCTTTAATTCCCTTTTGTCCGTCCCTGTGGAGACGATACTTGTACTTTCAACCACTTTACTACATCATTTTTAAGTGCGAGAAAACTCACATCAGTTTTTGGCGCCGTTGCCGGGGATAAACCCTATTTCAATTTTTGAGAGCTTTTCAAGCCTTGTTCTTCAAGATTAAGCCTTGTTCTCAAAAATTGATTGTATTCATGCTGACTTGTAGGATCCTTATAGTGTTTCCACTCATGGCGGGAAAAATTATTTTTTGACGTTGATTGATGATTTTTCAAAGAAAGTGTGGGTTTTGTTGATTGAGTATAAATCTGAAGTTTTTAATAAGTTTAAAAACTGGAAAACCCTTGTTGAAAAACAAACCGGTAAGAAAATAAATTTTTTAAGGACCACTGTCAGTTTTGATTTCTGTGATGATCAGCTTGGTGATTTATGTGATACTTGGGGTATATCTATGCATAAATTTGTTCCCTCCAACCCCAACCGGATGGGGTTGATGAGAGGATGGTTAGAACTTTATTAGAGAGGGTGAGGACTATGTTAGCTTCATCTGGGCTCTAATAAGTTCTGGGGGGAAGCTATTTGTTATGCTGTTGATTTGGTTAATCTGTCCCCGTCTGTTCCGTTAGGAGGGAAATGCCCTGAATCTGTGTTCATGGACAAACCGCTTGACTTGCCAAATTTGAGAGTGTTTGGTTGTGCTGCTTATGTGAATCGTGTGAATGATAAATTTGAACCTAGGACTAAGGAATATGTTTTCTTAGGATATCATGATTGCATGAAAGGTTGTAGGCTTTGTTTAGGAGTGAAACTTGCTTCAATGTGTTGATGAGTAGAAATGTCATTTTTGTTGAAAATGAATTTCCTTGCCTGCTTGTTTCTCCTGATGTTGCTCCAAATGAGGTGGAGCATTTGCCTGTTGAAGTTCATTCCGATTTACTTGTTTAAACCAAACCCAAATTTGTGAATGAAAATGTTTTTCATGGTGAAAATAAAGAAAATAATATTTCTATTAAGGTGGAGCATGATATGAATGTTGTGTGCAATATGCTTGAGTTGCGTGATTGACATGTTATTAGAGATAGAGACATTAGGGAGCATGAGAGAAGTAATATGTGCAATGTGTTTGACTATATTTCCTCTGAGTCTGCTTTAAATGTGCTTAATTCTCTTTTAATTAAAATCTTTGTGATATTTGGTATGCTATTTTCTTTGTGTTTTGAAAATATGGTACCAAGTGATTATGTGAGCTCTGCCTGTGCTAGTTATAGAAATAATATTGTTTCTTTTATTTTCTGTGTACTTGCTTTGTGTGGTTGTTGGATTAGTTGGAATCCCCAACTTCTCCCGGATGCTTGCTTGCGTGGTCTATTAACATGTGTTGTGCTTGTTAATAGTTTTGTGATGGTTTGGATTCTGAACTCGAGGACCGATTGGTAGAGTTCAGTCCATCGTGAATTGGGTTGGCATGGTAAGCTCGGTCCGAAAGGGAACTTTGGTTCTCATCTATTACTTGTATGATCGCAATGATGTACTTGTAATAGTTCAGCGATGATGAGTCTCCTCACAACCGTGTATTTGTTACTCTACACCACCTAGGACCAATAAGGTGGAGAATGTTGGAGGTATTGGTCCTACCAAGACCTCTCTTTCACTTATTCGTGTTAAGGCCTGCACCCTAAGTTTAGCCGTACTCCTATTATTTCCTCTTGGGTTTGTTCACTACCTAATCACATGGCCTTGTTATGTCTTGCCCGTTGCTATCCTATCTGCTGCCTTATGTTTGGGCTCCCCTTGTTTTGTCTTTCTTAGACCCGTGACTCACTTGATTAGGAAAGCATTTTTTTGAGTTAAATATATTTGTGGCCAGTGAGTATGAGAGAGTAGACTTCCTCCTTTGTGTGAGTGAGGCGTGAAACTAGTGGGCAGTACGTATTGAGAGTTTATCTCCTCCTTTGTGTGAGTAACCAGAGAGATAGAGTATAGTCCTTCTTCTTCCTAGCTTTGTCCTCCTTTGTGTGAGCTTGAGAGGTGAAAAAGAGTGTGGCTAAACTTGGTGAGTGGTGGAGTGGCTAAACATCCTGAGATGGTGTGTGTGAGTTGTTCTGGTTGGAGACCTAAGCTGAAATTCAAACCCAACATGATGAGAAACCAACCATTTCCATTTGAGATATAATCTGAATTACTGATCCATTGTAAACCCAGTCACCCAGAGCTCTGGTGAGACTCTGATAAGCGAAACATTCCTTTTTTAATTTTTTGAACTTGCTTCTGGTTTCTTCTGATTTAGAGAGGCATGCGGTTAACCAAAAATATAAAAGCCATCTAAACAAATTATTCGCGCCGAAAAATGAAAAGAAAAACGGGAATGGTTTTGTTATCGAAAAATCAAATAGTATTAAACGACAACAATTTTTAAGCGTGGAAAAACTATTTAAAAAAACGTTGTCGACTACTCTTTGAGAATGGTATTTTAGTGACGTATTTTAAGAATACAAAAGTTATATACTTCAGCAGCACTTTAAAAAATGTAGCCTATGATAGCATGAAACAAAAAATATACGGGTTTGAAAAAAATTGGCACAGCCATAACCCTAAAATGTTGTACTGAAAATATTATGCTCCAATAGTTAATTGTCCTAGACGCCGCCAGTGATAGTGTGATACTATCACGTTTTCTACATTTAAAAGACGATATTATGGAATATAAATTAAGATCGCACTCCTACGTCGAGTTATTGCTGAAACTTAATAAATTTGCACTCTAGGATCGATATGGTTTTTAATAAACATTTTAAAAATATTAACATTTTTAATCAACATTTTTTGCAAAATCAACATTTTTTTTATCAAATAATGTTAAATATTAAACCCTCCCAATTGACAACTAAATCAATTTTAATAATTAAAATTTACGAAACTACATTAAATTATCTATGAAGTTACAAAATCAAAATTTAATTAAGAATCAATTTTTTAATTAAGTGAATAAAATGAATCTATTTGAACTAAAAAAGTCAATAAGTTTGCAACTCAATTTGGGATGGAGGAGTAATATTTTCATACTCCCCCGTTTCAAATTGGATGACATATCGCTCGGAACAGTTCGGGTGGGGGTTACATTTTGATATCTGAGTCAATGGTATGAAAACGATTCTTTTAAACCTGGTTGATAAGTTTATTTTTTATATAATTGCGTGATAGTTACATATTCGAAGGCTGCATCTCATCCTTATATCGAATGTGTACATAGATAATTAACATATCATGTACTTTTAAAATTTAGGCTTTACAAATATATGTATTCAGAAGATTAAAGTGAAGTGAGCACTGTTGGCTCTATCCTTCCAAAATCAACGTGTTGACCGTGTTGTTTCTAAATTGACCTCGTTGACTATCTAGTTCCGATAATTGACCTGCAAAATAATCACTAAAAAGAACTAAAAGTATATTAGTGGCTCGAGACGCGTTAGACGCTGTCCTAAGGAATAATTTCCGGCATACGGAAATTTCTCCCAAGATATAACGAGCCCTTCGGTTATCAAACCGGTACCAGAACTAACGAGAAGAAAATAGTATATGAACCCAGTAATAGAGGTGATGGTTAATTTGTTGTATACTTGTATACGCACTTCACCGTATATATTTTTTCATCTATAGAAAATTAAGGCATATATGAAGGTGGTACGTAGCCTTCTCTCTTTGTAATCCCACAACACCCATAACCCATTTTCCCTTTTCAATAAGCAGAATGAGTGCAAAGTCTCCACCAAGCATATATGTCTATTCTGCCAAGTATATATATGTCCAAATACACAATGAACCGAACGTAGGTTACTAAAGGGTCACCATATAAACTTTAATGAAATTAAAGTATGAATTATGTAGTATTAAAGGCATTTAAGGAATAATGAATAATGATATAAAACGTTTTTGTATTAACTCCTAATGATGCCCAACGTTAGAAAAAGTTTAGCCAAATTCATATATTAAGTTAATTGTTTAACGTTTAGTAATGGCTTCACAAATGGTAGGGTAAAATGGTTTTTAAAGTCGTGATAAAATTTCCCAAAAAAATAATTGAAAAACTTATTCATTTGAAATACCCCAAAATTTCCAACAATCCCCCACTATTTCAAATGAATATTCTATTTATTGAAATTAATAATTCCTTACTGGGTTTCATATATGGGGTGAGGTTTTTCAATCTGGTGTTCGTAGACTTGAACCAGACCTAGACGCCTAAGTCTTTAAATACCGAGTTTATTGGTGAAACGTATAGTTTCTATGAACCAATAATCTACTTTGGTAAGTCAGTGTCTTAGGGGATCATTTTTCACCCCCACCTTTCTCGTCGTTAACGCCGTTGTGCGCCTTTAGGCCGTGCGCGTGCTTGGTTTTCTTGAGTGCTCTAGAAGCGTTGTCAATGCTACATGGAGGCGGCCCCACTTCTCACTCATATAGGTGACCTCATCAAGTGTGTCCCACACTTAACACACCACCCGTAAGGGCTATGACGACTATCATTAAGAGTTTTAGCTCAACCTCACAAGCAAATGTAGTCTAGCCTTCCACACCATAGAAACGGACATTTTACAAGGCTAGCAGAACAAATAGAAGATTTTTATTACCCATTTGAACTTGCTTCATGGGATCTCCAATCACACAAGTTGGGTTCTCATCCCTATTTGTTGTCAAAGTGACATTAGTCCATTTCCCTCGATGTTTAAATTAATCATTTAACGTCCTAGGGATTCTGTCAAAGGAGTAGCTAATTCCTTCACAAAATTAATGGATATAATTCCATTCTCAAACATCATTGCACCACTTTTAAGGGTGAGTGGATATCCACTATTTTAATTTATCTCATGCGAGTCGACTCAGATTGCGTCGTTGTATCCCGGCAATACAACGGATAACTCTCAACAAGATTTAGCATTGATGTGACACTTTTGTACATCAGATAATTTCAATAAAATGTTGTATCCTAACAGATAATTCTCAATATAATATATAACATCATTGTATCATCATAGTACAATGAATAATTCTCATATATAGCATCGTTGTACCTCTCTAGTACAACGGATATTTCTCAATTAAACATATTATCGTAGTATCAATATATTACAACGGGTAATCTGAACCATAATTAATGATATCTCTCGAATATCTCAATAACTTAAGGTATCTCAACCATCACATTTGAATTTCATATATTGGCTCAATCTTCAATTCCAGCATTTTAAAATTATGAAATGTCACACACATTTAATTGTAACAGACTCACATTTTTGTTTTTATTTATATCAAAGTCATAAGGGATATTCACATTTTAACATTGAAATATCAAACTTCTTAAGAAGTTTTTCAAAATGATGATAGTAAAATACCACAATCCCTCCTTATGGCTTTAATATAATACTCCAAAAATTACTTTTACTATATTCATATATCAACTCAATATAGCTACTGAAAAGCATACAAAATTTCAGCAACATATAAACAAATAATCACACATGCATCATTTAGTGTGTTCACATTCTTCAAAAATAAATCACATTAATATCAACAATAATATAGCTTAAAGTATTGCACACCGGCACACTAATTATTCAATTTAAGAAAATCATATATATGCTCCACTATTTCAGTTTATGCAAAGAGTGGCTAAAGGTTATAAAACTCAATCAAATGGGTAATTAAAATTTAGATAAACACCCCCACAATTTTAAAATGTTTCAAAAACAGCTGCATAACTCTTCTAAAATTCACAGGAAGATAAGATATTTTTATTGAGATAATATCTATCTCAATCTTTATTTGTACACCAATATTTTATTAGAAATTGCCTTCAAATTTAACGAAATAATTTTTTTTTTAAATCTCGAAAAGTCACCAATAAATGTAACATGAAATCTTCCACAACTTCTAATCACCGTACAAATATATTAATAAAACTTATATCGATTCACCAAACATTTTACAAATTTTATAGATGAAATATAACTTATAAATTATCTACCTCCACTATACACATTCAGAGTCTATCAAGATGTTCACAAATTTAGGTAAATAAATATGTATATTTTTTAATCACGGCATGCACTTCGAAAGCAGCAAGTAATCACTTTCGGACACCATGCATATATCCAGATATATATATTTCAACACAGTAGTGAATGTACAAGGACATTAAAATACTCCGTAATAGTTAAGTGATTCATTTGATAGCAGCGACAAATAAAACCGTTATAAAGCTCCAATGTAACTGCCGCACCAAATTCTGAGAATTCAACAGTTTTTGAAGACCCATAACATTTAATGTTGTCGGGAAGACGATAAATTTTCTCAACGTAAAAGAAAGGAAAAATACCGAGTAATAACAATAAATATTTTTAAACTCAGGTCATTTAGCTGTTAAAATATGAAAATTAACATTACATAATATAATATAATATAATATGTCACATATTACAAATATCATGTGAATTTAAATGAAACCTCTAATTCGTCATCCCCTATTGGATGATAGGAGGAAAAACATTTTTGCATTCACAAATGAATTTGATAGCCTCAAAATCTATCACTTATTCATTCACATCAGTCACTAGTCAATTTTAAAAAATTACTAGACAATTTTAAAAAAAATAACCGCAATAATTTTATATTCACCGCCAAAAAAGTTTACACTTTATTTTGGTGAATATTTTCCCCAAAGATTTCATTATCTAAGAAATCACCATTTGAACAAAGGCTACAAAAAAAACATACCACAACTTTGAGCATCGTTGGGAGCTAGAAATGCATCCATACTTTTGGTGTCACTAGTCATAGTTGACTGTTCCGTAGGTGTAATTTTAGTTTGCCAGTAATTCCTTAGATTGTTGGCTCTATCCTTCCAAAATCAACGTGTTGACCGTGTTGCTTCTAAATTGACCTCGTTGACTATCTAGCTCCGATAATTGACCTGCAAAATAATCACTAAAAAGAACTAAAAGTATATTAGTGGCTCGAGACGCGTTAGACGCTGTCCTAAGGAATTATTTCCGACATACGGAAATTTCCCCCAAGAGATAACGAGCCCTTCGGTTATCAAACCGGTACCAGAACTAACGAGAAGAAAATAGTATATGAACCCAGTAATAGAGGTGATGGTTAATTTGTTGTATACTTGTATACGCACTTCACCGTAAATATTTTTTCATCTATAGAAAATTAAGGCATATATGAAGGTGGTACGTAGCCTTCTCTCCTTGTAATCCCACAACACCCATAACCCATTTTCCCTTTTCAATAAGCAGAATGAGTGCAAAGTCTCCACCAAGCATATATGTCTATTCTGCCAAGTATATATATGTCCAAATTAACAATGAACCGAACGTAGGTTACTAAAGGGTGACCATATAAACTTTAATGAAATTAAAGTATGAATTATGTAGTATTAAAGGCATTTAAGGAATAATGAATAATGATATCAAACGTTTTTGTATTAACTCCTAATGATGCCCTACGTTAGAAAAAGTTTAGCCAAATTCATATATTAAGTTAATTGTTTAACGTTTAGTAATGGCTTCACAAATGGTAGGGTAAAATGGTTTTTAAAGTCGTGATAAAATTTCCCAAAAAAATAATTGAAAAACTTATTCATTTGAAATACCCAAAATTTCCAACAAGCACTCCGTCCATGACTAACACACATGAGTGTTTAGTATGAAGAAAATCATCAGCCCAACCCGTTCATGCAGCAAATGGCCGAATCCTTTCAATAAACTGTTGATGTAAAATGTGGCCCCGAATCGTAACGAAGATTCTAGGGAATCCATTATGAGAAATTTTAAAAGAATGACGCTTCCAGTTTCTTCAGAAAAGGGGAAAATAGTTCTGAAATTGATGAGTTTTGGCTCGAGCTAACTACTCAAGTATTAGAAGACTTGCAATTGCTTATAGCCGAATGTCCACAACAAGCCATTAGTTTGTTTATCACTGGTGGAAATCAGTGCTACTTAGACCGGATTGACAGATTGATTGGTTTGGGAGTTAGAACTATCATTCTGAATCACGCGCACATCTATTTGGGCATGACAAGCGATAACCACCCATAAACGGAGGGACTACATCTAGGGAGGAAAATTCCCTTTATACACGTCAGTTTTTACACGCCGGGTTACACGCTAGTCAAATTTTCTGTGCACAGACAATTTGACCGGCCACACAGACAATTTGACCGATGTTTTATGAAGAAAACTGATTTTCACACAGACCAAAATAAAAAAGATCTCTCTATCACAGACATTTCAAAATTCTCGTTTAAAATTGTCTGTATCACAAACATTTTATGAAAATTCTCATCTAAAATGTGTGATACAGACAATTCTTTATTTTTGTCAGTGTGAAAATCGATTTTTTTCATAAAACGTCTGTTGGGTTAAGGGCCCAAGCCGAGGTCCGGCCCACTAACCCTTTCTTCACCAGCCGTGCGTCCAATCAGATCACAAGGCCAGCCCGCAGGCCCATATTCCTTGGGGAGGGATGAACGTCTGGGATTGGGAGTTCAGGCCCAGCGGGCCACCAGGGGATGACGACGAACGTCCCCATGGCAAGCCTATAGTTATCCGAGGAAATCCAGTCCACATGGAAAGAATCCACAAGGCCAGGAGACGAACAGCCGAAACCTCTTGAGGATCACCTGGAGCGATCCAGCTCGCTTCCCAGGCGGACGAACGTCCCCATTATTTAGGCGGGAAACCTAGATTCTGGCGGGAAGCGCATTTAATGCTGAAGATTTGGTAGTTGGGACACAAGCGGTCCACAGGCCTCCACGTCAGTATAGCCACCTGCCCATTGGCGGGTATAAATAGAAGCATTTAATTCATTGTAAAAGGTTGGCAACCTTCTATTCTTAGCACTAGCTATAGCATTCTTACTCGCAGCATTTCTACTGCCTTGTAAGACGAACGGCCGACGGAGCCTTAGCGAAAAGTATTGTATTAGGGAGTTATTAAGAGATAATAATACCTAATCACTTACTTGCTACTTTCCTGCTTTTGTAATCCATATCATCTGCTTGTTGGGCTAGTTTAATCACACACACTCCATTCAAAATCCTTGGGCTTGCGTGTTGGACCCGGGGGTTGAAGGAATAAACCTCAACACTGGCGCCGTCTGTGGGAAACTGAACTAAAAGTTTCCAAAAAACTCTCCCAAACAGCTACTAATTCTACCCACAGCAAGCACGATGACAAGAAACAACCGCCAACGCGACCTCTCCGAGCAGCTGTCCCGCGGACGAAGCAACCGCGGGCAAACTACGGAACGTTCCAAGACGTTGGGGACAACTGGGGGAGAAGGTGGCCTCACAAACCTCATCCCCCATGAAGCCAGGCGCGACCCTCGACTCATGAGGGAGCTGGCGGAAACGATGCGCCGAATGGCGGACGAACAGGAGGCAAACGAAGAGGTGTACTCAGCTAACACCATCTGGACGCCCATATCACCCATCCACCGCATGCAGTCCCTGGATGAGACAGTGGAATCTGCCGGGCGTCGGACGCCCATCCACATGAGGTTGGGTCAAAATCCGTCTTCCCACGAAGCTGGGGGGCACACTAGCGCCAGCACCCCTCGGTATGGTTGGCAGGACGATCATCGGGGACGTACGCCGGACGTTCCCTCAGAACATCAGGGCACCACCATCGCCCCAGCTGCCAGTAACATTGGACGACGTTTCCAGAGGCATGGTGCCCATATTACCCGGAGGCAACCCGACGCGGTTGCCCCCCGAAGGAACGTTGCGCTCGAGGCCGCCCCTCCTGTGTCCCCCGGAAGGGCCGCACAGGAGGCCCGGCTAGAGGCAATGGAGCGGCGAATGGCCGAAATGGACAGACGGGCGGAGACCGTCCCAGCCACGCCCCGTTTTTCCCTCACCTCGCCCTTCACTCCGAGGGTCATGAATGCAGATATCCCGCGGGACTGCAGGCCCCCCCAGGGGATAGTGTACAATGGGACCGGGGATCCCAAGGCTCACCTGATCAGCTTCCAGGGGAACCTTTCCATGCTGGGGGCATCCGACGAGGATATCTGCCGGCTCTTTTTTAGCACCCTGAGGGGACCGGCGCAGGAATGGTTCGGGCAACTGAAGCCCGGATCTATTGACAACTACGAAGAGTTGTCCCAGCAGTTCATGGCCCAATTCGCTGCCAGCACCACCCCCAAGAAGAGCTTCACATCGCTCACCAGTGTGAAGCAAGGAAAGGGCGAACCTCTGGCCCAATTCCTGGTCAGGTGGAGAGACGAAGTACTCCAGGTGGATGACCTGGACGAGCGGCTGGGGGTAAATCTGTTCACCAGTGCTCTGGCAACGGGGGACCTATAACGAGACCTTCGGAGGAATCCCAGCACCAGCTACACTGAGGTGCTGGCTCGGGCGCAGAAGTATGCCTCCATTGAGGAGGAGATCAGATTGAGGGACGGCGCGCCTGCAGCCCCTTCCCGAAAATTGGCAGATAGGCTCGGCCCTGGAGGCGGACCATCCCCCCCAAACAAAAAGAAGAAGACGGACAGCGGCATGATTCCGTGGAAGGCTCATCCGGAGGCCAGCCGCATACGTCCGGACGAGTACCACGTCCCTCTGGCTTACCCCGTCAGCCAGATTTTCGACGCCATCAAAGATAAGGGCATCCTAAGGGAGCCCCAAGACAAGAAGGCGCTTATGGGTCTTGATGAGACCGCGTATTGCGAATACCACCAGAGGGTCGGCCACCTCACCGACAACTGCAAGCAGCTGAGATTGGCCATCGACGAGCTGATCCGGCAAGGCTACCTGGGCGAGTTCACCCAGCTGCTAAAAAAGAATAGCCCGAGGCAGCCGAACCCGAGATCGCGGTCATGGCGCCGAGACGATCGGCGCGAGGCGGAACCGAAGGACGTAGATTATCGGAGTGCTGATAAACGTCCGGAGGGGTCCCTCGGCCCGAACGGCGGAAAGAAGAAATTGGAGATCAAGGTGATCTTTGGGGGCGCTGAGACTGGGGACACGCCTGCGGAGCGGAAGAAGTTTGAAAGGTCCCTCTACGTGGGCTCCATATCAGCTCCCCCCGCCAAAAAGAATAAGGTGGAGGCCATCACCTTTGGACCGGCCGACCTACCGATGTCACCAGCCCCTCATAGGGATGAGTTGGTAATCAGCATGGATGTCAACAATGCGATCGTCCGGCGCGTCCTTGTTGATACCGGGAGCAGCGTGAACGTCCTCTACTGGGAGGCGTTCGAGGGAATGAAGTTGAGGAAAGACCAGCTGGCTCCCCTACGTACCCCTCTTTCCGGCTTCACGGGAGATTGCATCGATGCGGAGGGCACCATCGGCCTCCCCGTGGAGATCGGGGATGGACCTCACACTACCCGCATCCGGATGACGTTCGTCGTGGTCCGCCTAAAATGTGCTCACAACGCAATTTTGGGCCGGCCCGGCCTGGAGGATCTTGAGGCCATATGCTCCGTGCGGCACTCATGCATCAAATTCCCCACTGAAACTGGGGTAGGGGTGGCCCGCACGGACCCGCACATGGCCAGGGCCTGCTACACCAAGGCCATGGAGAGGTTCTGAGAGCGAGAAGCCCGGGTCAACAGCATCACTGAGAGGGCCAGACAGGCCGACTTCGACGCCCGTCTGGAGCCGGCTGCCCTGCTCGAAGAGGTGGAATTGGATGACCCTTCGGACAGGAAGGTGTCCATCGGCGCCGACCTTGAACCTGAGATCAAGGAAGGGGTCATAGCTGTCCTCCGGAAATTTAAAATCTTATTTGCCAGGGGACCGGAGGACATGCCCGGAATAGACCCCAACCTCATCTGCCACAGACTCGCCGTACGGCCGGATGCCAAGCCTATACAGCAGAAGAAGAGATACATGGCAGCCGAACGGCGAGATTTCATCAAAAAGGAGGCTGCCACGCTCCTCAGCATCAAGCACATCCGGCCAGTCATCCACGTGGAGTGGTTGGCCAACGTGGTATTAGCCCCAAAAGGCGACACATGGCGGATGTGCGTCGATTACTCGGACCTCAACAAGGCCTGCCTGATGGATCCGTACCCAGTGCCGAGGATCGACCTGCTGGTGGACGAGACGACGGGCTGCGAGCTGCTCAGCTTCATGGACGCATTCAGAGGTTACCATCAGGTGTTCATGCACCCGGATGATGCAGAGAAAACAGCGTTCGTCACAGCGGACGGCGTGTACTGTTATGTGGTCATGCCATTCGGACTGAGGAACGCCATGGCTACTTTCCAGAGGATGATCGGGATGTTGTTCAAAGACGTACTGGGGAAAACCATGGAAGCTTACGTGGACGACATCCTGATCAAGAGCAAGAAGAAGGAAGACCACGTCCGGGATATGGAGAGAATCTTCACCATCATGGAGGGGGCTAGCATGAGGCTCAATCCGAAGAAGTGCGCTTTTGCTGTCAAGGGCGGCAAGTTCCTCGGCTACATGATGAGTGAACGGGGGATCGAGCCCAACCCGGAGAAGGTAAAGGCAATAGTTGACATGGAAGCCCCGAGAAATCTGAAGGACGTGCAGCGCCTCACCGGGAGACTGGCGGCCCTGAGCCGATTCATGTCAAAACTAGCGGACAAGGCAATCCCTTTCTTTCAGATCATGAAGAAGGCAAATCCCTTTGAATGGACGCCAGAGTGCCAGGCTGCCTTCGAAGATTTCAAAATATACCTCTCTTTCCCGCTCGTCCTCACCAAAGCAGACCCCGGGGAGCAGCTGTACATGTACCTGGCAGTGGCGGACTTGGCTGTGAGTGCCGTGCTGCTCAAGGAGGCAGGGGGCGTTCAGCGGACGATCTATTTTGTGAGCAAGGCGCTGAACGGTCCGGAGACCAGGTACACGCTGATGGAGAAGACGATCCTCGCCTTGATAGCATCCATCAAACGCCTGGCACCGTACTTCCAGGCACACCCAGTGATTGTATACACGACACAACCTCTCGCCACGATCCTCCGGAACCCCATGGCCAGCGGGAGGATAACCAAATGGTCCCTGATGATCGGCCAATACAACATAGAGTTCAAACCGAGGCCGACGATCAAGGGACAGGCGCTGGCAGACTTCATTGCCGAATGCACTGCGCGCACCGAGGACGATCCCCAAGGCGACAATGATTTCAACAACTGGTGGGAAATGTACACCGATGGGGCCTCGATTGCAAAAGGTTGTGGCAGAGGAGCAGTGATCACCTCACCTGAGGGTTTCAAGGCCTACTACTCCATGAAATTTGAATTCAAAGTCACCAATAACGAGGCTGAGTACGAGGCGCTGATCGCGGGACTGAAGTGTGCAAAGGCACTCGGCGCAGCTCGTCTCAAGGTGAAAATGGACAGTCAACTGGTGGTAACTCAGATGAATGGGACGGCCGAGACCAGGGAAGAGAGGATGAAGATCTACAAGGAGATCGCGGAGGAACAAACCGCGCAGTTCGAGCAGGTGATAATCGAGCAGGTATCGCGGGTGGAGAACGCTGAGGCTGATATACTATCCAAGCTAGGCAATCCCCCAGGCGGTGACCCCACGACGAGCATCCCCCGGCACATTAGGGGCTTCGTCAGGCAAGAGACACTCCCAACACCGGCGACGGACGTCATCCGGGTAGAAACCATCTCCATCGCCGAACCTAATTGGTCGAAGGAGATCGCAGACTACCTCAGGGATGGGACGCTCCCCGAGCCTGAGGATGATGGCAGCTCCGGACGAGCAGCATGGATAAAGAGGAGGGCCCCCAACTTCGAGCTCATTGATGGACAACTCTACAAAAAGACGTTCGGAGGGCCATACTTGAGATGCCTCCCGCCGAGCCTGGCAGCAGCCGTCATTGAAGAGATACATGAGGGCGTCTGTTCCAGCCACCAGGGTCCCCGTACCTTTGCCCGGAAGATCATCTTGCAGGGGTATTACTGGCCGACCATCCAGCAGGATTGCTTCAACCACACTCGGAAATGTGCAGTATGCCAACAATATGCTCCTGTCCCCGGGCGGCCGGCAAGCTTCTACACTCCAATGACGGTTGCATTACCCTTCGCCAGGTGGGGCATAGATCTGTTGGGCCCTCTTCCGACGACGACCGGCGGAAGGAAGTTTGTCATTGTGGCAATTGACTACTTCACAAAGTGGTAGAAGCCGAGCCGCTAGCTTCCATCACCGAATATCAATGTCAGAGGTTCCTCTGGCAGAATGTCATATGCCGCTTCGGGATTCCAGAGCAGGTCATCACCGACAACGGCCGGCAGTTCGTCGGCAGAGGATTTGAGGCATACTTGGCGAAGTGGGGCATCAGGCACTCCAAGGCCTCGGTGGCCTACCCGCAGGCCAACGGCCAGGTGGAGAACATGAACCGGACCATCATGGATGGGATCAAAAAGAAATTGGAAGATTACGCGTCCACCTGGCCGGAGCAGCTCAATTACGTACTCTGGACGTACAGGACAACCCCAAGGACGGCAACCGGCGAGACACCTTTTGCCTTGGCATACGGATTCCAGGCCAAGGTGCCGACGGAGGTGCTGGTGCCCACACATCGCACGAAGCACTTCCAGCCGGAGAATAACGAGGCTAACCTACGAGCGGAGCTCCACTTCATCGAAGAGCGAAGAGACCTAGCAGCTCGTCGCATGGAGGAATATCACCGAGCCACCCAACGGTACTTCAACAAGGCGGTGAAGATCCGCGAAATTGAAACTGGGGACCTCGTACTCAGAAAGAGGGAGAAGAGCAAGCCGCTCGAAGGTGGCAAGATGGCCAAAAATTGGGAAGGGCCGTACAAGGTCATGAGAAGATACAACCAGGGGACGTTCCTCCTCCATACCTTGGAGGGAAACCACGCTGGAATCTGGAACGTCGAACACTTGAAGAAGTTCTACCAATAATTAGAGATAGATCTTTTTGTAATATTTTGGTCGAAGTACCATGTAACACCACCGATCGTCGTCTCTATATTAAAAGGATTATTTCTGTTCTTCACTCCCTACAGAGAGATTAAAAGCCGAAGTGCTATTGAAGCGATTTCCTCCTCCCAAAAAAAAAAAAAAAAAAAAAAGAGAAGAGAGGAGAAGGGGAGAGAGAAGCTCCTATGAGAGAGGGAGTCTTGACGAGGTATGCCTGATCTTCCTTCGCCGCGTGACGAACGTCTCCCGACGCGGAGGTTAGTAGGAACGTGGGGGAGGCTAGACGTACCAAAGGGAACCTCGGCAGGATAAACCAGTTCCTCCCATGACCCGTGGATCGACGAACACCTTCTGCTGAAGCAGAGGGCTAGTAGGGCCACGAGTATGGGGCGACGAAGCAGGGAACCCGTGATAGGGTAAACCAGTGACCTCCTTGCGATCGATGATTGACCGAGCGTCTTCTTCGAAATAAGAAGACTAGTAGGATCACGACAAGGACGAACGAAGCCTAGTTCCTCCCCCTGATGAGCGCATGACGAAAGCCTTCTGCGAAGCCAGAAGACTAGTAGTTCGCGGCTGGGGACGAACGGAGATAGGGAATCCCGACGTGGATAAACCTGTTTTTTCTCAAGGCGGGGATGGCGAACTTCTCCTACGAAACCAGGAGAAAAGTACCCACGAAGCTTGGGAAGGACAAAGACTGATAAAAAGACTCCAAAAAAAAAAGATAGAGAGAGAGAGACATGGAGCAAATAATGATTTTTATTCTTCGGTACTGATGACCGGAAAGTACAATATAAAAGGTACAATGTACATGATGAAAAAATGGGTACAAGTACAAGACGATGAGCGGAGAATCAACTTTGATCAACATCCGGAGTCGGAACCTTGAAGGAGACCTGCTTGGCCTTTTCCCTAGCCTCAGCTTCTTCACGCTCCTTACGCTCCCTCAGCAGCTCAAGGGCCCCCTTATGGGCGTCTACCATCAAGGAATCAAAGCCAGCTGCCGCAGGATCAAAGGGAGCCCCAAAGTGACGCTCGAAGACCGGGAGATTCTCTGCCACGAGGCCGACCATACCCTTGAGATAAGTATCGTCGGCAAGATCGTCGAGGAAGCGTTCCCCAGTGGGAGTGGCCTGGAGCAATTTGACGCCATCTAGATAAGGGTCCGGGCAAGTGGCCAAAAACTCACCGACGAACCTCGGAAGGAACCTCATGGCCATGGTATGAATGGCACCAGTGTAAGCCTTAGACTTCTGGAACTCAATGGAACCAGATTCCTTGATCTTCGAAACATCGGCCTCATACATGGGGACATGATTATCCACACCTGTACGGCGGATTTCCACCTTTGCCTGCTCCACGGCCCATAGCCGGCTACGAAGGTCCACAAGCTCGGCCTCCTGCTTCCTAAGGAGCTCTTTCTGGGAAATGCTCTCCTGGACAAGCTTGTCATAGGCATCGGCCTTTTCTTGAAGTGTTCCGGCCCTGCCTTTGTCGTTCCTCAAGAGGGCATCGCATTCAGCCCGCACACGAGCCATTTCCTTGCCTTGATGCTCAAAGGCCATCCGAGCCCTGTGAAAGTAGAGCCCGGCCTTGTCGAGGGTGCTCTGCCCACATTCCAGGAGATCCTCAGGAGCTTCCTGGGCGGCGAAATCTTGGGGGACCTTGAGGTTGAGGCCGCACCAGATGGAAGACGCGGTCTGGCCGAAGAGCATCATCGACTCCTTGCGAGGGCCAACCCCGGAGAATTCGATAAGACCAAGGGAGGACCCGTTGGTTTCTGGAGGCGAAGGGGGACGAGCATCGTCAAAACCCTTGGTAGCATGGACATCTCCATCCCGAAGGCGACGGACCTCGGAATTCCGCGGAGGAGAAACAGGGGGCTTATTCTTGGAAGAAGGTCTGCGCTTCAAGGGACTCCCAGGCTCACCATCGGAGTCGTCAGCCACTATGATGGCCTTGGAAGCGGTACCGTCAATGCACGGCCTCTTGGAAGCCCCAGCCTCCGATGCGTCGTCCGACCGCCTCTTGGTCACCCGAGGCTCGATCTTGGGGACGAGCGGCTTCCTGCCCTTATCATGATCCTTGCTGTCACGGCCGCGGGCATGCAAAGCAACGTTGGCACGTCCCATGGATGATGTAGACGGGAAGACTCCTGCAGGAAGAAAATCAAGACGTTCAGAGCCATAACAGCGAAAGGGTGACAGGACAATGCAAGTACAAATGGACGCACCTAGCCCGGCCCGGGCCTTAAAAGGCTCGGCCACCAGCGACCGGAGGTTCTGGACGCCAAGACCAGCTATACGCTTGGCATAGCCAAGCTCCTCATCCGTCATGGGCGGCGGAATGGACTTCACCGGGTAGGCGTTCCACCTATCGGAGAATGGCATCGGGGAGCCCACTTCGGCGAGGAAGAACCGCTCCTCCCAGCCGTCCGGGTTCCCAGCGTTGTTTGAAAACAGGACCATGGACGGACGCGTAATCAGGGTTAAGTACCCCGTACGTCTGAAGGGGGATAACCGGAAGAAGTGTTGCAGTAGGTCTACGGTGGGGGTCACGTCAACACTGTGACATCGAATTATAAAACCCGCGATGATCCTGTAAGCAGCAGGGACAAACTGAGCAGGTGTCACCTTGAGGCTCCTAAAAAGCTCTATGTGGAAGCGGTGAAGGGGAAAAAGAAGGCCGGCTATAACGGAGTCCAAGTGGACCACCACATAGCCGGGCAGATGGCGCATTGGGTGGCGCAGAGTCCGATCGTCATAACCCCTTGGGGGAAGGAACCATTGGCTTATCAACCGACGGTCGGCGTTCAAGAGACGCTGGCGCTGACGACGAACGCCGGAAAAATTCAGGTGATGTCGGGGGGGCTATGGTGGCATACCCCGCTCATAGAACTCTAGGTCATCACCAGAGGAGCACCCATCGTCAAACCTATCAATAGTTTGGGATCCCAACATGGACAAAGACATGACGACGTTCGGTACCTACGGGTGTTGGGGCCTGAAGCAGTACCGAAAAAAGCTAGAGAGAGGAAGTGATTGCGCAGCACAAGGACTAGGGATGAAGCAAATGGGGAATCCGCAAGACCTTGGATACTTATAGGCAGCACCGCGGGATCGCGCCAATCACGGCGGAACACGTGGCGCCTGGGTACCGGTACCTACCACGGCACTAAAGGCACCTCGATGTCACCACCCCACAACCACCGCGAAGGAAGCCGGTTTTGATGCCACGAGCGTCCCCCATAGGGGCACGCAGGGACCGCACCCGCAGGCTACTCACGGAAAGACGTGCGTATTCGCGGGATGCGTTCATAACGTCTGCAAACGTATTCGCGGGATGCGTTCATATTTTGATGCCAACCAGACGAACGTCTGCGAACGATATCTGGTTTAAGCACAAGGCGTAAAAGGTCATGCTATTCCTAACGCGACGGACTTCTCTATCAAGGCATTGTTCCTGGGGAGTGCGTTCGTATCCCCACATCTAGCTATACAGGCGAACGTCACGGATGGTTATGTCTATAACCGCGTGACGAACGTCTCCACCAACTCCGATCCGGGAGTACACATGTGGGGTTAGCTCCCAAGCATACGAACGTATCTCGAAAGATTGGGATACAGGAGTGGATTATGGGCATGAACGTCCTCACCAACTTGGGCTATATCCCATAATGGCAAAATACTACTAACGATAAAAGAAAACAGGAAGAGTTCATGAACGTAGAGACAATGATAGAGCAAAAGAGTTGTGTATTCCTCGGCTCTACTGGCCGGATAAGTACAGAATCAAAACGAGAAAACTACAAGTTACATTACACAAAATTTGGAGAAACGGGCCGGGACCCCCCAGGGATGGTTTCTTCCTCCTCCTCGGGCTCCGGCTCGGGGGATGGAGGCTCCGGGACCTCACCTCTGGCTCTGGCCTCTTCCCGCCGGGCGTCCCTTTTCAACTTGCCCACCGCCCGGACCAGCTCCGGATCAGAGGTATGCTCGGCCAGGTCAAATCTGGGCCCCTGAAGAGCGGCGAAGACCGGCAGTGTCGCCTTTACCCCTTCGTTGTACCCAATAACGAAGGAGCTATCCCCAACGTCGTACAAGAACTTCTCGGCCAGGGGCGCGCTCTCCAGAACTCGGACCCCGAATTTGAGCCGATCCTTCGGCGCCTGTTTCTGCAGCTCAGCGGCGAACACGTCACCAAAAGCGCCCCCAAGGTACTTCTGGGCGGCGATCATGAAGGCCCCGGAGTTGTGATACCCAGAGTCGTCGACGAGCCATTCGGGGGCCTCATCCTTGGGGGCGGGAAGAGCCGGGACGAGCTTGAATCCGGCTTTCTCCAGGGCCGCGAGCTTCGCAGAGGACTCGCGGGCTACCTTCAGGGCGGCCTGCAGCTCCTTGTCCTTGACGGCCAGCTCCTTCTCCTGCAGACGAGCGGCCTCTCTCGCCTTCTTCAGGGCAGCATCTACTTTATTCCTCGCCTGGAGGACCTCGGCCTCTCGGGCAGCCTCAGACTGCAGAACGGAGAGCCCGACCTACAAATCAAATACGGGAAGTGAGATTTCAAAACAGTAGGGTGAGGTAATCAAGCACCTCGCGCGGAGTAAAGTCTTACCTGAAGAGCAGCGGCCAGAGCCGCATTAGAAGCCTCCGAAGACGTCCGGGGAGGCATATCCACGCCGACCAGAGAGGCGATCTCCTGCCAGACATCATGGGCCGGACGCCCGAGGGAGGGAAGGACCAACTCTTGCTCTTCGGGGGCCGAAGAGGAAGCCCCCGGGGCCTTTTGGGCTTCTTGTCCTTCGCCTTCTCCCCTTCAAGCGGATGAACGGCCTGCAGAGGTGCCACGACCTCGGGAACGCCAGGATTAAGGATTGGGGCCTGGGACCCCTGCGCCATCACCGTTGCAATGAGGTGCTGTTCCGCCTCCGCCGTGCGACGATCGGCCTGAGAGGCGGAGGAGTTAGAATCTGTTGTTTGGGCGATCTTGGCCTTGGCAAGGGCAGCATCAGCAGCGGCGCCTTTGCCTTTCCTCGTCCTGAGGAGCTTCTCGTGATTCATTTGTTCTTGGGTCGGGGGGAGACCTGAAAGGAAAATGGGAAATGTGTTAGATGGACGAGGCCCAGGAATGACTCACCTCGGAGGTCAGGACCGCCCAGTACCCCGAGACGAGCGTAGGAGGGAAGATGCCCGAGAGTATGGGCGGTACCTATTCCTGCCGCGGCAAGTGCCTCAAAAGTTAGGAAGTCGTCTAAGGGCCGGACGCCGCCCGTCGAGATCTTCCTGATGTCATCCTCCAGATCGTCGGTCAGCTCCGGGGACCCTATCTTGGGCGGATAGCCATTCCACCGTAGTGGCAGACGAGCATCCGCGTACCGCACAAAGAAGAACCGGTTCTTCCAATCATGGATGGAACTCGGTGCTCCGCTGAACAACCTCCGCTTCGGACGGGCTGCGATGCTCAGGAAACCATCGGAGTTTTGGGGGGTGAGCCGGTAGAAGTAATGGAACAGATCCAAAGTGGCGGTGACCCCATTGTCCTTGCAACGGACTAGTAAGGCGGAGAGCCACCGATAGGAATTCGGCATGAGTTGTGCGGGGGCTATCTGGTAACAACAGAAGAATTCCACAAAGAACGGATGGAGAGGGAAGCGCAGCCCGGCCTCGATGGAGTCCAGAAGCACCATAATCATCCCTGGGCGTCTCCTCATCACGTGGGTTGCGCCACGAAGGCTGTATACGGACGGAGGGGGGAAGAACACCTTGAGCTTGTTGAGGGCTACCGGCGAGAAGATCTGCTCGTGGCAGAGGACATTCTTGATCGGGCATAGATGCCTCTCCACATCTATCTTTAGCCCAAGATCAAAGACTTCGATGTCGGAACCATCCTGGGCCTCGACCCCAGAGTCATATCCGTCCGGACGACCGTCCTCACTAGCGGACTCCTGTTCCCCGACGTCGGCCACGGGGTCCACCACATTGAGGGCCATATTGTCTTGCTCTCCTGAATCAGCACCCTCCTCACCAGGGACAATTTTAACAACACCGATTTGGGCTTCCCCGACCTGAACAGTTCCCACGGTAGGGGCCGAGCCGGAACTACCGGAAGTGCTAGTCTCGCCCGAAGAGCGTGAACCGTAGTCAGAAGAGGAGCCCGAGGAGGAACCCGATGAACCCGAATCGGAACTTGACGAGATCTCCATCGAAACCATCTCGACGAGAATTCAAGACAAGGAAAAGAAGCAGAGTATGGAAATTACCTTAGAAAGGGGTTAGCCGAGCTTGAAAGCGGGAGAAGACTTGAAGAGCTGCGGAAATTCGGAAGCAAGAGGGCAGAAATCGGGAACCCTAATCCAGAGGGAAAACCCGCATTTATAGGAGAAACACCAGTGAGGGAGCCAACGGGGGGCTGACGCGTGGCCGGGAGCGTATTCCGGCTCACGCGCTGTGCGTGGGGCGAAAGCGTAATGATGACATTTCCTCAGAAAATGCACCGCCGCTACAGCAGCCGTCACCTCGTTTCCTGAATCGTCGACAGCTGTTAAGCACCATGACCACGGGCGTACGCTTCCACCAGATGCAATAAAACATAAGTATCAAGACACGAACGTCTACTTCGAGGGGATTTATACTTCCTTATGTCCTGCGCATGCTCAAAACATCAGAAGTGGGGGACTTGTGTTGGGTTAAGGGCCCAAGCCGAGGTCCGGCCCACTAACCCTTTCTTCACCAGACGTGCGTCCAATCAGATCACAAGGCCAGCCCGCAGGCCCATATTCCTTGGGGAGGGATGAACGTCTGGGATTGGGAGTTCAGGCCCAGCGGGCCACCAGGGGATGACGACGAACGTCCCCATGGCAAGCCTATAGTTATCCGAGGAAATCCAGTCCACATGGAAAGAATCCACAAGGCCAGGAGACGAACAGCCGAAACCTCTTGAGGATCACCTGGAGCGATCCAGCTCGCTTCCCAGGCGGACGAACGTCCCCATTATTTAGGCGGGAAACCTAGATTCTGGCGGGAAGCGCATTTAATGCTGAAGATTTGGTGGTTGGGACACAAGCGGTCCACAGGCCTCCACGTCAATATAGCCACCTGCCCATTGGCGGGTATAAATAGAAGCATTTAATTCATTGTAAAAGGTTGGCAACCTTCTATTCTTAGCACTAGCTATAGCATTCTTACTCGCAGCATTTCTACTGCCTTGTAAGACGAACGGCCGACGGAGCCTTAGCGAAAAGTATTGTATTAGGGAGTTATTAAGAGATAATAATACCTAATCACTTACTTGCTACTTTCCTGCTTTTCTAATCCATATCATCTGCTTGTTGGGCTAGTTTAATCACACACACTCCATTCGAAATCCTTGGGCTTACGTGTTGGACCCGGGGGTTGAAGGAATAAACCTCAACAACGTCAATCAAATTATCTGTGTAGTCGGTCAAATTGTCTATACACATATAAATTGTCAAATTATCTGTGTAAAAAAAATAAATAAATAAAAAAATAAGAAAACAAAAACAAAACAAAAATAAAAAATAATAATTTGACAGGCACTTAACCTGTACACGTAGCTGGACTCATCTAGGAGCGCCTGGTATTGGTAGGGTTGTAAACGAATCGAATCGAGTCGAATAGTGGGATTTTGTATTTGTATTTGTTCTTGTTTAATTTTTTCGAATTCGAATTCAAATATGAAACAAATATTAATTTTGATTTGTATTTGTATTTGTTTAACAATACGAATAGTTAACGAATCATATACGAATATCGAATCGATTTAAGCATAGGGTAAATATTAGTCAAATATCACTTTAAAATAACTTTTCTTATATTTTTTGTGTTGTAAATACATGCTATAACTTTTTTTTTTATCATAAAAGAACGGCCGTTATATTAAAATCGAGAAACATACAAATGCATGCTATAACTTAATATGTGTTTTTAGAATTTAAATTTAATTTATCAATGCATTTTTAGATTTTGCACAATATATTAAAGTGAATCAATTTTAAGATTAATAAATGTAAATCTATTTCGAGAGAATTATTCAGGTCCGGCCAGGCTGGACCACTCCCCTGTCCGGACACCTCAATTTGAGGTGGTTCCCGGTGGTATTTTTTGCCCAAAGTTTTTTTGTATGTTCTTTATCAAGTCTAGTTCATCCATACCCAGTTTGAGCAAACAATTCAATCGGGAAGGTCGTCAAATGATTTTTGCAAGTTCACTGCGTTTTATATGTATATTCCGGACCAGTTAACTTGCAAAAATCATTTGACGACCTTCCTGATTGAATATTTTGCTCAAAATTGGTATGGATGAACTAGACTTGATGAGGAACATACAAAACAAATTTGGGCAACAAATACCACCGGGAACCACCTCAAATTGAGGTGGCCGGACGAGCCTCCTGTCCGGCCAGGCCGGACAGGAAAAGGACTCTCTATCTCGATCCTTTTTGAAATAAACACTAACACATACATATTAGAAATTATACTTATAATGTGTGAAATAAGTTGATAATTGTATATATCAAAGTCAAACGACTCTAATTTTATTCTTTCAATTGAATATGTGTATTGTATTTGAAATATATTTGAACCAAAAATTTAATTTGCATTTGTATTTATATTCTGATTTACTACTAATACGGGCTTGGAATCTGTATGTATAAATGTATATATGACTACACTTTGAGGGTATTGCTATCTTTTAAAAGTTATTATAATGTTATTACTATTATTATTATTATTAATATTAATATTAATATTATTATTATATTATTATTAATATTGCCACTATTATTAAGGGATATTTACCTAAATGGGAGTAAATAAATCATCAATTGCTAAAAGAGGAATAAACTTTAAAATTTCCCTAAACAGGAGTTATTATTTGTAACTAGACAGAAATGCCCCAAAAGAAATGTCCCAAAGGATAATTAGCAAAACCAACTGCTGCCAACCGAAGCTCGGACCGCCGCCGGACCGCTGTCGGACCGCCGATCTCCGACTGCCGCCGCCGCTGAAACAGTCACCACTCCAGATCCAGCCATTTCCGCCACAGATCTGTCCGCTGCCGCCGTAGATCCAGCCACCCCCGACCTCCGGCCACCACCCCTACAGATTTGACCATGCCGCTGCAGATCCGACCTCCGCCGCTGCAGATCTAGCCGCTGCCGATGCAGATCCGGTCTCCACTGTTGCAGATCAGACCCTATGCCAAAAATTTTACCAGGCTAAAGGGTCAAATAGGTACATGAACTAACTTAAAGTGTTCAATTAGCCCCTTATATAGGAGGTTCTGCCCGGCCGTCGCCAATTGGGGCGGTTCCCGGTGGAATTTTTTGATGAAAATTTTTGAGCATCTTCTTCATTAAGTCTAGTTTACTCATATCAAATTTCAGCTAAAAATTAAATCGGGAAGGCGGTCAAATGATTTTCCAAAATATACTACGTTGTTTACCTGCGCAGTTATCTTCAGAAAATCATTTGACTGCCTTCCCGATTTAATTTTTAGCTGAAATTTGGTATGGATAAACCAGACTTAATGAAGAAGATGCTAAAAAAATTTCATCAAAATATTCCACCGGGAAACGCCCCAATTGGCGACGGCCGGGCAGAACCTCCTATATAAGGGACTAATTGAACACTTTCAGTTAGTTCATGTACCTATTTGACCCTTTAGCCAATTTTACCAAAATGCCATCATGAGTCTAGAATGCCATTTAAATGGCATTTTCAAAGGAAAGTATGAAATTTTTGAAGAATAAAAATGCCATTTTTATGGCGTTTCAGATTAACCTCGGATTTCTTCACGAACTATTTTTCAGGCTGAAAGAATAACGTTTCCCATTCATTTGGGATTCATTTGATTGTCGATAAAGTTTTGCCTCTTGTCGATTGTCATTTGATTTCTCAATCGAGTATCCTGTTCTTTTCCCATCTGCGATTCATTTTTTTTGTCTACACAAACCAAACCCGAAATTGCCATCCCGAATTCGCCCATTCACTACTTACCACTCCTGCACTCCCTCCATAACAAGTTCCGATAATGGATGACGTGAAAGATAAATTCAAAGGGTTCATGAAAAAAGTCAACAATCAGATCTCTTCCTCTTCTTCTTCTGGCAAATTCAAGGGCCCCGGCAGAGTTCTGGGATCAGCCGCTTCCGGATCAGCCACCAATTCAACCATCCCAAGTTACTCGAATTCCAGGCCGATCCGACCCGCGAATTCCACTCCCGTCCCTCAGCAGTCTAAGATTCGGGAGCAAAAGCTCGATTATAAACCGGAAGTTCAGGTTAACCCTGAACTTAATCTCCCTCAAAGTCCCGATATTTCTGCGGCGGGAAAGAGAAATGGCTTCGATCCGTACGGTTCTTTGATCACCTCTGGTAAGAGAAACACTAATGGTTATGATCTGAATGTGTTTGAGTGCCCTGTTTGTGGAGGTGGATATGGTTCAGAGGAAGAGGTTTCGGCTCACGTGGATACCTGTTTGAGCTCCCAAATGATCAAATCTTCAACCCTTTCCATAAATTCCGAGAGTAATCGCAAGGCGGAAAAAAGTCAGCTGGAAGTGCTTGTCACTGCTTATCTTTCTGGGAGCCCAAAAGGTTCTTTAGAAGTCATACTTAGGCTTTTGAGCAACATTCTAAAGGATCCCGAGAATGCAAAGTATAGGAAGATTAGAATGGGGAATCCGAAGATAAAGGAGGCGATCACTGATGTGGCTGGAGGCGTGGAGCTATTGGAGTTTGTGGGGTTTGAATTGGCAGATGTGGATGGAGAAGTGTGGGCTGTTATGGATGCTCCACCATCAGACGAAAAGATTGTTTTGCTGAAGAAGACACTCTCTTTGCTGGACCTCTCCGAGGTACAGAAAGAAGAGAATGTTCACCTAGAAAGGGATCTTGCTAAGGCAGAGGAACCAGCTGAACCAAAGAAGATTGATAGACAGGTATATAACAGGATTTTTGTATGCATTGATACTCGCAAAGTTAATATGCTTTTGTTTGATCTCTGCATTTGTCTGTCTTGATTATTTTTCTCTTGATTATTTTTATCTGTGATAATGTTCAATGTTGGAAGAAGTTTGTAATAGAAGATTATTAGTCCTTTTAATAGGCCTAAATGGATTAAATGGCCGAATTTGCTATAATTGTCAGAATTATTGAAAATATTTGTTTAGAGTATATGTTTGTTTTAAATAAATAAAATAAAATAATATCTAAGTAAAATGTAGTTCCATTTCATTCATCTTCGCCTTTTCATTAATGTATTGTAGCAAGCTTGAAGCATATTCAGCTCTAGCGGGGTTGAGAAAGTTTTAAGGTACACAAAGTAGTACTTTATACTCCGTATTATACTAATCATAGATTCATAGTATTAATAGTACTCCCTTCATCCCACTATAATTGTCCCATTTTTCATTTTCCGTCCGTCTCACTAAATTTGTCACGTACCAATATATACCATATCTGGTACTATTTGTGTGACTCGAATTTATTCTTACTTTATTATCACTATGAATTCATTATCAACCACATAATTCTATTTTTTAAACAACCACCCCACTCTCCTTTGTCTTAATGTTAGGGGGACAGAGGTAGTACTATATAGTCTTCTTTTTGTTTTAGGTTTAAGGTTTAGGTTTCCTTTCTTAATGGGTTTAGTCCCATTAGTTACCTATACAAGAATAAGCATTAGCATGGTTTAGTATTTAGAAGTCATGAATTGTATTAAATAGATAGATCGGTAAAATAGTACACCCTACATCCCATTTTGGTTGTCTTACTTCCCTTTTGGGTTGTCTTAAAATGAATGTCATGTTTCCTTCTTTGGCAAGAAACATTCGATCTTTATCATTTTTACTTTATTCTATTCAAATCTCAAGTCTCAACCGCAACTTTTACTTTTTAACAACTTTATTAATAATCTTGCCAAACTAAAGCAAAACATCCGATGTGGGACGGAGGTAGTAGTCTTTAGCCATACATGACCTATTTCATTTCTTCATTTTTCACAGCATAGTAAAATAAGTTAGTGTGCACCAAATGGTCACTATACATTTCTGAATATTTTGTTGATGAATGAAGTTCTTCCTTTTGTTAGACAAGAGTATTAATCAGTAAGTCAGGATATCAATTCACCTTCATTCCCTTTCCGGAAATATAATATAATCCACTTTCCATGTAAAGGAAGAATAAGAAAAGGGAATAGGATCATACTTTCTTGAGGAAGAATAAGTAAAGGACCAATTGACCACTTACCTTTTGTTTTCCCTTCTAGTGGTACTTAATTTTGAAAATTCAGAGAGGATATTCTGAATAAGGCTTGGATGTTGTTGTTGTTGTAGGGAGGATATTCTGAATATACAACAACATATAGCATAAGTCCCATATTGATGGGGTTAGGTTTGTGAACCTATGGGTAATCTCATGAGATGTCCATCTTCCCTGTGATTTATTGTTCCTAACTATGTACACCTTTGCCTTTCTTCACCTCATTAGGATTTGTTTGCATTAGATAAGAAAGTGAGAATAGACATAAAGGTGAGAGATGGTGTTGATGTTTTTCTATACAACAGAAGTGCTCTAACCATTAATTTGATTCAATTAAATATCATTAAAAAAAGAGGGATAGGAATAATGTATAAAGAGTTCTTGTTATTTTCGATCCCCAAACTATTGTGTCAGTGACACTTTCAGTACTCGACTTGACGACTTTTGATTTGTTCATTTTAAGTCCTCGACTATTGTGCAAGAGACACTTTTAGTCATCGACTTCAAAGTTTCCCACATTTAGCTCGTATTATCAAATCGACACTTTTAGTCGTTCCACTATGATTTTTACGCAATAAGTGGAGGACTAAAGATGTCGCTATTATAATAGTTGAAGGACAAAAAAATGTCACTTTTTTGAAAGTTGAAGGACTAAATATGGAGATTTTTAAAGACGGGTACCAAAAGTGTCTATCGCACAATAGTCGAAGGACTAAAAGTGGAAAAAATCAAAGTTAGAGTCCAAAAGTGTCAGAGACATAATAGTCAGAGACTCAGAGGATTAAAACTGACAAAAACTCAATGTATAAATAAAGACTTGTGTTCTATCCCTTTCGTAGCAGAAAGGGGAGAACCAAAATTCTTCTGTCTCTTCCCTTTTTTCCATGCACCAAACAGGAGAAATAGCTAATCCATTGAAGTGTGACATTATCGAAGTGTTTTAATTTTACGATTGCTGTGAAGTCCTTTCTTTTTTAAGTTATAGCTTAATTTTTTCTGTGATCATCCACTAGATTCGGGTGTTCTTTGCCGTGCCTGAAAGTGTAGCGGCTAAAATCGAGCTGCCAGATTCTTTCTTTAACCTGTCCCACGAGGAATTGAAAAGAGAATCAGAAACAAGGAAGAAAAAGATTGAAGAATCCCAACTTTTGATTCCTAAATCATACAAGGAAAAGATGGCGAAAGCTGGAAAGAAGAGGTATTCAAAAACTGTAATCCGGATTCAATTCCCAGATGGAGTGGTGCTTCAAGGGGTATTTTTACCATCAGAGCCAACTACTTGCCTTTACCAGGTCAGTTTATTTAAGATCCACTAGGCTCATCTATGTGCAATCTGTGAACGTTTTATCCCGGTCATTTGAAAACAAAAATGTTACTCTCTTTGTCTCTATTTAAAGTTTATGTATCCTCTTTTTGGACGTCCCTAAATAAAGTTCTTATTCCTTATCCGGTAAAGAAAATGCTACCAGTTTAAACAGTATGAAGCAGCATCTCAGTAAAAGGGCATTAAAATAAGTCAAAGAAGAAGAAAAAAATTCTGTAAACTTCTTGAATTCTTTAGAGTTTGTTGATAGGATTTGTTTTCGGCTTATGACCCCGTTTGTTCCACCAAAGATATTTCTATCTTGTTTTAAGTTATACTACCTTCGCCCCTTAAGTTTGGGATAAGAGAGAGTGGTGACAAACATAGAGGGACAAACTCTAATATAGTGAAATATTTGCAAGAAATATAATAGAGGGACAAACTCTAATGGTAAAATGTGAATAAAGTAAGAATGGATTATAATCACTCAAATATTTGCAAATATGGTATGTGACAAACTTAGAGTTACAGACAAAAAAAGGTAAAATGGGACAAAGATAGGGGGACAGAGGGAGTATATTTGTGTGTACGCATATAAGTTTTGATTCAAATTAGAATGAAAAAAAAGAACTAATCTGATCAATTGGATGTTAGATCAAATGGCGATAGAAGTGCCAGCAGAGCAAAATGTGGTGAAATATACTGTTCAACATTTGTATATAAATGTTCAACGTAGAAAACCAATAGTGAAGATTTCACCTTTTTTTCCACCAAAAGAATCATTTTTATTTGGACCAAACTATATACGTAGAAAATCGCTTTAGGTGACCACCTAGGAGCTAGACGGTGGCCGGACGCCCCGATTTTAGACTAGGCGTCCTGAATAATTGGTTTGATGCCATAGGATGCGTAGTTACCCGCCTTGAGTGCCTAATCGGGAGCGTAGGGCGTTTAGATTTGCCAAACATATTTTTGATTTTTGATTTTATTTTTCTACAAGATATGTACTTTTATTTTTAACCACACATATGAAGAAAGTTACTTGTAGATTTAGTTAAAAATTATATTCGTTTTTATATAGTATTATTCAATATATAATTAAATGAAGTGATTAATTATAATATATTATTAAATGTGATGATTCTGTTGAATACATACATGTTAGTGTGTATAGACGACACACACAACTAAAATATAACTTGTCATATTTATGTAAAAAATTGATAAAAATATAATTTATATGTCTCCGATTAGTCCCCGCCTAGGCCGTTGCACGCTAGGTGCTGGGTGACGCTCGATTAGCACCTAGCACCTTTTAAATCATTGTAAATGTAATTGTAATACTTTGCCATACATTATGCATAAACAGTTTGTGAGCACGGCTTTGAAGGATCCGAGCTTGGAGTTTGAGCTTCTACATCCGGTGGTGATTAAAAGACGGGTAATACCATGTTTCCCAGCAGTAGGAGAAAAAGCTAGAACGCTGGAGGACGAAGATTTGGTACCATCGGCTCTGATAAAGTGCAAGCCAATTGAGACCGATTCCGTTGTGTTCACAGGTCTCTCTAATGAACTACTAGAGATGAGTGAACCTATTGTGAATAATTATGATGCTGTGGTAGGAACATTGTAGTTTGTCTATATGAACTGTATATTACACAAGGATCATACATAATATTGGGTAATAATATGTCCTTATATGCTTATTTGTATTGTGGTTACTTTTTTGTTTCAATACACAGCATTTGATGGGTTTATCATAAATTTTAATGTACAGTTTCCATCTGTTTTGCAAGTTAATTTGCTAGTAGAAGCCATTTTGGTATCGATTGGGGCAGAAATTGCAATAAATCGTATGTTAAACATAACTCAGAAAATTCATAATGAAATGTAACTTTTTGCATACTTTTAGATTTCCTATTATTATTTACTCCGTATATAATAGAAATAAATAATTGTGATACTTGATCTTAGAACATACATACAATGAGTAATTAAACTACTCTTAGAAACCTATCATGACAAGCCACACAAAGAAATCCCTCACTACCTGGAGCCATACACTGCTGCTGTTCTGCATGTTCATGGCAGTAAGGCCTATTGCAGAAGCTGCACTTGGGAAGTTTTATCCAGCAACCCAAACACAAATCATCCAGGCAAGCTGCCTCCGGACGATCATCGTCATCCTTCACACACACCCCACACTCTTCACACCTCTTAATGCAAATGATGCACCCCCTATAACAGAGCATAGTAATTATGTTACGGGAACCATCCCAGTAGATCAATATGACAAAAAGAAGAAAACAGGAAAGATCCCACATCAGAATATTAAAGGGATAATGGTAGATTAACACAATATTGAGTTCACCTAGCTAATTAACTCCAATGAAACTTGAATTCTATCGATAACAACCACAAAGAAGTTAAGGCTTATTGTACAAAATATTTTAGATGATTGAGCTTAATACCTGCAAGAGTCTAGAGGGCAATTGAAAACCATCCGTGTTTCAGCACACTTTGGACATACATCTATGTCGATGGATTGATGGTCACCATCATCGTCTTCTCCTATGATCCTTGAATGGTTTCTTCGTTTGTGGTACAAGTTCCTCATGCTCTGGTTTTCCTGATTTTGTCCCAGTAGATTGCGGAGTATGGCCAGGTTTTCTGGATTCATATTGTAGATGCCACTTAGTTTTAGGCTCTTCAATCGGTGAGTACCCTTTGTAAGTAGTTGCACTGCCTTAATGACTCCCTCGGGTGTTATTAGGGTGCATCCAGGTATGTAAAGCTGCAAATAATTAAAGAGAAAACGTGATGCAGGTGGTTGACACCATTCCCCTCCCATTGGACTTAAAAGTTAAAAAACAGATTGAAGCATTTTAAGTGAAAGAAACTGAAAAAATGTACTTTGGGCTTACTTTTTTAGATTACCCCGGACTAAAATAGACGAGTCTTGACCACATCTAGTAAGATTATTGTACGGAGTACTACACAACATTTAAATACACCAAACAATACCAATATCATTTAATATTATAATATACTCCGTATTATCATTATTCTTTACGTGGTCTAATCTGTGTATTGCTCATATAGTTCAACAAATCAACAATTATAAAACAATACTTTAATTTTTTAATTGAACTTAAAAGATGATGTAAAATTGTGATATATACTGCAATATACAATGACTATGTTGATAACTTTAGTGAATATGACTCAATTCACGAGTAAACATTGGTAACTATGATGTGATTATACTCGTCGTAGTCATGGTAATTTTAATCATGTGATTACTGTTTACTGATAAATGTAATTTAAGCACTTAGTAATACTCCGTATTTTAGAGAAAAAAAATTAAACTTTATATTTAAAGGTTGATGTGACAAATACTGAAACGATTTTCTTTTATAAGGAAAAAAACTTAAACTTTATATTTATAGTGTTTACACAATTGTACACACTTGTACAATTATTAAGACAATAATTAAGTATGCTAATTCGAGTACATTTTGAGAAATAATTTTGATGACTATATAATATAATGGGTTATTGATGATAACTGTGATTTTATAATTTTTTTTTATAGTATTTGTTGATTAAATTGTCGTTAAGAGTGTTAATTGCTTCCTGAAATAGAAAGTGAGAATATGTAAGTGGGATGTCCAAAAAAGAAAAGTGAGAACCTTTAAATGGGACGAAGGGAGTATAATTTATAAATCAATAAATAATACACTCATTTTGATACGGTTCAAAAAAAAGTAAGACACTTAGAGGCCGTTTGGCAGCACTGTTTTTCGACTTATTAGCCAACTTTTTCACCAAACACGTAATTTTTGCTTGTGCGCGCTGAATTGTGTAATAAGTAGAAAAAGTAAGGTTGAAGTTACTTTTCTAGCTGTATTAGCTGAAGTTACTGTAGATGACTATTTTAGCTATTTTTACATATAATTTTTCTTTATTTTATTAATGAACTATATTTTAAAAATAATTTTTTCTTAAATCAGCAGAATCAGCCAATAAAGCCACTTCAGCCAGAACTTCATAAATTTCAGCAAAATCGGCTCCGATTTTGATGCTATCAAACGGACTCCTATTGTAAATAATAAGTAGTTTTATTTTGAAACAATTTAAAAGGAAATATTGAACTACCACGGAGCACGTATTATTTTGGGTACCTTGCTGATATTAGGATTTTTAGCTATGACCCGTAAAAGGCCGTAGTCGGTGATCTTAAAACAATTGAAGAGAGCCAGTGTTGTGAGCCGACCATCCGCGGCGGCCGTGATCTTTAACAGGATTTCATCTGTGAGCCGCCGATTTAACGGCTTCTTTACCGCGATCCGCCATGGAAGAACGTCACAATTGACGGCTTCTGCGAGTGACCGACAAACTTGAGTGATGCATAATAGTTCGAACAGAGGGAGATAAGCCAAGACAAGGAACACGGCCTCATGAGGTGGCCCTAAGGGATCAAGGGTTGTTCCTTTTTGCTCTCCATTCTGCAATCCTAAACTGCTCTTCATAATCTTTATTTGCCTTTTGATGAACTTTAGGATTTTAATTTTAGTTTAAGGTTATTATATGTCACTCAAAATGGATACAACCTTATCCATGAAGACGTGTCTACTCTACCAAACCACACATCCATGTTGAATATACTCCCTGACTCAAAATAGACCCCAAACAGAGGTGGGAAGAGAGGAGGCTAGGATAAGTTTCAGAGAATATTACCCGAAATAGGACTAAAAAGTTTTTGGAAATTCCAAAATAGGACTAATTACTGTCATGTTTTGGCAGTACCAGACTTCAAACATGACAATATTTTCCAAACTTGGCAGTAATTACTTCTATTTTGGGAATAAAAAACATGTCAGTCCTATTTTGGAATTTTCAAACTATTTCAGTCTTATTTCGGGAACTTTCCCTAGGTTTCAAGATGTTTTTACTTGGATTGAAATTTGCTGGTCTGGTCTGTATAAGTCTGGTCTAAATTGATAAATGTCTTGTCTTTGTATATTTATAACTACGGAACTCTAACGTTGCAATCTCAAAAAGGGAGAAGACCCCTCCGAGATACCAACAAATGTCTAGCTCCTCTGCCCAAGAGCATGTTCCAAGCAGACCTCCAGTCCGCAGACTCAAGATGCTGGGATATACAGAGGAGGTACCAAATGAGGAATTCAAAGAGTTCCTGCAAGCAACTGGTGGTTTTGCAACTAAGGTCAACTCTGACCTAAAATCTCTGAAGGAACTCTGCTTGAGAAGTCTACTACTCTAGCCTCCTCTGTTGATGGGATACAGAAGACCCTGGTATCATTTCAAGCTGCCCTTACTACTCAAGAAAGAGCCATCTCTTCTTTAACCTCCTCTGTTGAGCAGCTCCAAAGGTCTGATAGGGAAGGGACTGCCCAACTCAACCGCATTGAGACCCTTTGTTCAGACAATAAGCAGAAGTTTGAGACTCTTGCTGGTACTGACAAAGAAAGGTACAATAAGCTAATCCAACTTGAAAGCCATACTCAGACCATAGCTAATGATGTTGAGAAACAGAAGAAGCTTCTTGACTCCCTGGCTGAAGTTACCTCTGTTATCCCCACTGCAATTGAAGATCTTGGCAAAGCACATGCCTCAGAATTTGAGAAGATCAGCATCCTTCTTCACGATCTACATGATGCCAAAAAGGGGGAAGAGCACCCCTCTCAACAGTTGCAGCTTGCAAAAACAAATCAAGGTCCTACACCTGACCCTACACCTTACTTTGAACAACTGAGACTCAAGAAGAAAGCTGTTGCTGGCTCCTCTGCACAACCATCCTTTCCAGTCCCTCTGAAGAAAGGTACTAAGAAGAAGGCACTGACCTTCATAGACTAGAGAAAAGAAGGATCTCTAAAGATAACCTCAGCTCAATTTGAGAAATAAAGAAGAAGATGACCCCTACTCAAAAACAGAACATCTACCATGACTCTGAAGGATCTCTGAGAATCAAGCATGGTGGATCTTTTGAAGAAGCTGAGTACTGGTTTACAAGAAATGTGCTCCCAGGCAAAGATGCTGATGAAGCTGTTCTTCACTACTTGAACTGCAAGCTTGCACCAATCTAGGCTTCTCTTCAAGAATCTGGACACTTGAACTCGCAGCAGAGATCATCTGACTTCATCGTCTGTTTTCACCTTCTTCCTCTCAGATTCTCGCAAAGATGTCTTCATATGATTTGTAGCCCTTGACGTTGGCTTTCGTATGCAACTTGAATCGTATCCATTGGATGTTCCTACAAAGACATAAGCGTGAACGATTGACAGAAGGTCATCCTGATCGTCGTTTTCAAGCTTCATTCATCTTCTTTTGATCCCGAAGCCAATCCTAGAGCTCTTTTTCCTTCAAATCTTCATCGTGAATCTTCCGGTGATTTCCAAAGATATCAAATCATTCTCAAATGCTTCTCAAATCATCCCGATTGTTCCTCAAGTTCCCGTACCGGGCTCAAATTCCCTGATTCTGACTACAAACAACACAAAACTCGAACCAACGCCCGGTAAACATAACCTGAGCTAAAATTGAGACTTGGAACACCTTAAAGCTGGGAAAACCATCAAAATCCGATCTCAACACACATCAAATGCGTGTCAAAATACGGACTTATCAAATTCCCCCACACTTAAGCCTTTGCTTGTCCTCAAGCAAACTGAACAACGGGACTTACGATAATCACCACACAGAATCAAAACAATTAGCATGCACACGTAGTTAAAGGGATATTCACATGAAAGACAATCTAAACCAAGAAAATCCTTCCCTAAACTATATCTTTGTACTCAAGCTAAATTGTTTGACAAAGTATTCACAACATCCTCAAAGTAATGACAGCGTACACAAATAAATTAGCTATTGATCAGAAGGACTTGTGAAGGTGGTGGTGAATGGATCATGGATAAAAATAATAGTCCTTTTCTTTTAAGAGATTGAAATATTCTAACAAAGACTCAATGTATTCAGGAACTTCTGGGCTATTCTTAGGGACAAGGAACTCAGTAGGCCACAATTTAGGAACAATCATTTAAACCTATGCAAAGAGTAGACATGGTGTACAACTAAGCTAAACCGTCTCGGCACATTTTTGCTTTGACGTATACTTGAAGTACGCGGAGGACTAAAGCTAAATTTCAATAGCCTCCAAGTTCATTAATTATGTTTAGTTTTCCTTGTCATGTTGGCACGAGAACACCGTTTCTTTCGAAAGATACCCAAGTCTCATCTTACGCTTTTTGACCGGGGCTCCCATTCTCTTTTTCGCAAGATAAGAGGTCTAGCTATATTAATTTTTCACCTTTCGGATTCTCACTAGACATTACCCCATTCTAATCTCGGTCTCACCAAGGAAAAATAGCAATTAAAGTTCATTAATTTCAAAGTGAATCCATGCCTACAATGCAATCCTCGAAAGTATCATATTCCCAAAAGATGACTGCTCTTACCCCATTTGGGGCATAGGAACAGTGCCAAAAATGGCTCCTACACAAATTCCCTAAACTTAGCAAATTAATCCCTTAGTTCCCTACACATCAAGACTAAGTTAGAAATATTCACGAGTAAGGAACATAGACCATTTGGCTATGGAGCTCAATTAATTGGGGCAAACAATAAATAGTCAGGCTCAAAATGGCTTCTCCTAAAGGGTTTTATTCAGGTGGGGTGGATGATTAATGGAAAATTCATGGGTGACTAATGCCTTCCTCCTCTCAACAACTAGATTATAGTGCAAGCAATTTAAGCCTAAACACTTCAAAGATGTTTTAAAAGCATAGTCAAAACGCTAGCCAGTTCACAAAGACACAGTTTAAAGAAAAATTTTCAAAAATTTTGACATGAATTTTCTATGAATATACAACTACACATGCACATGCTAACTCTAAAAATCACATGTAACAACTACTGCCCGAATGCCCAATTCATTCCCCCATACTTAAACTTTGGCATCGTCCTCGATGACCAAAAATGCACTATGCACAAGGGGGTAAAGAGGATAGGGTCACGCATGCTCAACTTAACTCAAGTCAATATTTACAAAACAGGCGATAATAAGAGTCGCAGAAACTTCCCTAAGGCGCTGGTCGGTGCAGAATTAAACTGAGTCAAGTGATCCTCGGCACATCATCCCCAAAGTAAGACCCTGAGCTGCAAAAACAAAACACACAAACACAAAAACAAACCCAAAAAAACACCCCGTATTTTTTTTTTTGTTTTTTTCGGGGGTTTTCTGAAAGCAAGCAAGCAAACAAACTGATGGTCCCGGATAGGGTAAAAGTCTAGAGGGGGGGTGAATAGACTTTTAAATCTTTTTCAGCTTTATGAAGTTTTCCCTCTAGAAAAGTTGATCTATAATCTTTTGAGAGATTAATAGATGCACAGCGGAAGTCTTTACCCTTTATGTGATGAGTGTTTAAACACTTTCTAATATGGGAAGATTGAACTTTGATCAGTGAGCAGTTGGCTTGGCAGTTGCCTGGATGGCAGGAAACTGCTGAGGCAACTGCTAGTGGAAAACAGGAGTTTGGAAGAGATAATTATATAGCCTTGTACAGAATGATGAGGACTTTATGAATATGTGTAGAGCTAAAGAGAATAAGGAGTTTTGCCTGAGCAGAGGTCTGAGCAGTTGGGTAGACCCAGGGAACTGCTAAGCCGTCTGCTGTGTATGAAAGGAGTATTTCTGAGAACTGACAAACCAAACCTTTTAGTAGTGGTATTCCAAAGCTCGTGTGAAACAGTTGTCTCAAAGAAAAGTGAGTTATTAAGCAGTAGGATAAGCAGTAGAGTCAATTAAGACTACTGCTTAGGATGCTGCTGGCAAACTACGATCCCTTTAATGAGAAGTGTTGGGTGTGTGCTCTGTTGAGTAAAGGAGAATCAACACACGATGTATCCTGGTTCAGAGGTGGTGTAATCCTCCTACATCCAGTCCCAACCTATTTCAGATGGATTTCCACTAAAGTATTAAGCCCAATACACTTAGTGCCAATCTAGCCTTTACAACACTTAGGCCTAGATTGAAGGTTTTTCACAATGAGTATAACACCACTCAAAGTTACTCAGTCCTTAGACTTTTCTCAATCGATCCAGTGGGGATCAAAAGGTACTCTATCTATTTAACCACACTTTAGGATCCGAACAACTGTTCTCCTAAGTGTTTACAACCACTTGACTAATACAAGAAATTTCTAACCTCCAACTATGAACTAAGCTCTAAAAATATGAAAGTGTTGATCTAGTCTAAGAGCTTAGTGAAGCATGAGGCTAAGCAGAGAGTAAAGTTGAGTTTGCACTTTCTCTTTTGCTAGATAGCTCGTATATGCTTTGATGAAAGTATTTCTCTACTTAGGATGCTCAAGCTTGTTTATGAACTCATGCTTCTACCTATATTTATAGGCCTTCATGGTTGATCAATCTCATCCGTTGGTTGAGATGGATTAATCTTTGTGCGTTGAGGGTCTGGCAAGGACGAATTGTACATTTGTCTTCTTGTGCAGGAGCTTTTAATATTTTTGTTTTCTGTCTTGAATGATTGGGCTGCGGTATGGGTGAGTCTTCAGCCGCTGCAGCTTCACTCCAAGAAGTCCTCCCATGCTGTAGGACCGTGTATTTAATGCCGGTCAACTTTTGTCTTCCAATCAATATTC